TTGCCTTCTTGCCTGCATGGTTTCTGCCGAATAATCTGAGCTTAGTCTTATTGTTTCTCCTCTGTATGTGACTTTTTTTTCTTGAGTTGCTCTCAGGATTGTTTGTCTTTGGTTTTAGCGAGTGTGATTATGATATGCCTTGGTGATTTTCTTTTGGGATCTATCCTATATGGGGTTCATTGAGCTTCTTGGATGGTCAGCATTTCATCTTTCACGATATAGGGGAAGTTTTCTGTCAGCAATTCTTCAGTGATCCTCTCTGTGTCTTCTGTCTTCTCCCCCGTTCTGGAACTCCGATCACTCGTAGATTTTTGCTTTTGATTGTATCCCACATAATTCTCAGGGTCTCTTCATTTTTCTTCATTCTTTTTTCTGATTTTTCTTCAAACAGAGTTGTATCCAAGTGTTTTTCTTCTATTCTGCTGATCCTCTTCCACCATTTTACATCTTCTCCCCAGCCCTTCAATGACACTGTCCATTTCTGAAATCTTGTTTATCTTTTGGATTTCTAATTGTTGTTTTTGTATAATTTCTAGTTGTGGATTTATTTTGGCATTTTGTTCCGGCATTATTTTCCTGAATTCTTCCATTTTTTTTGTCTGTATTTTCCGTGAATTTCTCTATTTTTTTTCCTGATTTTTCTCTGCTTTTTGCTTCAACTCTTAGATAATTCTGAGTATTAGAGATTTGAACTCCCTATCAGGTAGTTCTAGTGCCTTTTCTTCTGCTGGAAAGTCATCTGGTGTTTTATTTTGGATGCCTACTGGAACCATCCTGTCCTGTTTTTGCAAATGTTTTGATATTGTCTGCTGTCTTCGGGGTATTCAGTAGTTATTTTCCTCGTTTATTGATTGTAGATTTGTTTGTTTCATCTTTTTTTTTTTTTTGGTCTATGTCTGAGCAGGAGGGCTGTGTGTTCTTTGTTGTTTGCTCGTCTGTGGGCACAATACTTTTTGCCTCCTTCTCCAATTGGCAGGGTCAGTTGCTCAGATATGGTACAGCAGGGCAGGTCTAGCTTAAGAGGAGTTGCTGGGATGGGTTGTTTGTGGCACTTACTACAGCCACCAGGGCGGGTCGGTAATCAGTGCAGGGCAGGTTCTGGTAGGCCTTGCCTGTGCTGCTTGGTGGTGTGATGTTAATCGCACGGTGCAGGTAGGCAGGATGGATGGGGGAGACTGTGGTGTCTGGAGCTAAGATGGGTATGGGAGAGAGGAGAGAGAAACACAAGCCAAAAACATACAAAAAAGAGTGCTAGGGGAGCTTGCCGTTGGAGTGGAGAGATGAGAGACTATGAAATGGAGAAAAACAAAAAGGGGAAGGAGACAAAAAAAAAAAAGAATGAATAAATAATAATTAGAAAGAAAAAAGAACAGCAAAGCTCCCAGGGATCCCACCGGTCCGGCTATGAGGTCTGGGGAAGTTGTTCCCAGGTGCTGAACTACAGCCTAGCTAGGAGGCATAGAGGTATTCAGCGCCAGGTATCCAGGGGACAGGAAGAGAAGGAAGGTACAGAGAGATGAGAAACTGAGTAATGAAGACAAAAAAGATAAAAGAAAACAAAACAAATTAAAACAAAACAAGAAAAACTCCCAAAAAAACAGAAAAAAAAAAGAAAACCCATGAAAAAAGAAATGCTCTCAGGGATCCCTCTGCGCGTCTGCACAAGCTGATCAGGTAGGTCCCAAGCTGCACAGCACTGCCTGACCAGAACGGGCTCCCAACTTGAGAAAACAAAAAGAAAACAAATAAACAATTGAAAACAAACAAACAAAAAGCCCCAGGATCCCACTAGCGTGGTAGCACGGACCGGGAAGCAGTTCCACATTCAAACGGAGCTCCACAGCCCTCAGGAAGAAGCAAAGATGGCACACAGAGCCAGGTATTTGAGCAAAAGGAAGGGTAGGTGGTGAGAAGGAAGAAATCAAAAGAAGCAGAAAAAAGCAACACCAGCAGCCAACAAATGGCACTCAGGGAGTCGGCCCGTGCAGGCAGGTGGAATCCAAGCAGCCTGTGCTTCCCGGTGAAGAGACTGTGGCCGCAGGAAGCAGAGGACGCTGAGTGGGGGTGAAGAAGGGTTGGGGGTGGCAAAGCGTATATTGCCAATTACCGGTTCTTCTGTTTCCTGCTGGAAGCTCTATGAAGCTGCTTTCTTGTACCCCCATTTGCTGGTCTCTGATAGGAGTCCAAGATGGCGGATCCGTGCTGCATTAGTTGATAGGGAACCTCTCCATGTAATTTCAAGATTGCTGTTTTCTCTGTTTGGCTTAGTTTTTCAGATCTTTGCTGGAGGGATGGTGTGGTGCTTCTAGAACATTTTCTTTAGAAATTATATTATGCCAATTGAGCTAGATGTTCCCTGAGATTAGGTTTCCATCTTATGAAACTAAAAAAAGCTAGAGAAAATTAAACCCAAAATAAGCAGAGAGAAAAAAATCATAAAGAACAGAAACTGATGATATTAAAAAAAAACAAACAGAGAAGTCATTGAACTCAAAAGATGGTCCTTTGAAGAGATAAAAAAATTGATAAACCTATAACTACCCATAGACTTAGGAGCCCTAGTCTTGCAGTGGTTAACCACTCACCTGCTAACTGAAGGGTCGGTGGTTCGAACCCACCAGTAACTCCACCAAAGAAAGATGTGGCAATCAGCTTCAGAAAAGATTTATAGCTTTGGAAACCCTATGGGGCAGTTCTACTTTGTCATACAGGATCGCTAGGAGTCGGAATTGATTCAACAGCAGTGGGTTTGGGTTTTTTTTTAATAACTAGACTTATCAGGAAAAAAAGACAGAAGACACAAATTACGTCGTAAGAAATAAAAAAGAAAACCACTACAAATCCTGCATACAGTAAAAAAAAAAAAAAAAAAAAGAAAAAGAAATACCTTATGCCAATAAATTGCACAACTTGAAATGGTCACATTCCTTGAAGGACCCCAACTAACAAATCTCACTCATGAAGAAACATAGCATCAACAACTTTATGTTATGGATTGGATTGTGTCCCCCCAAAATGTGTACCGGAATCTTAACCCCTATACTTATAGATGTAATCCTGTTTAGAAATTGGGTTTTCATTGTTATATTAATGAGACCACATCAGTGTAGGGCGTGTCTTAAACCTAATCACTTCTGAGTTAGAAAAAGAGCAGATTAGACAGAAATGTGTGCACAAATGGGGGAAGACAGATGCCATATGAGTCACCAAGGAATCAAAGAACACTGAAACAGACAAGAATCTTCCTCTAGAGCTGACACCCTGAATTTGGACTTCTAGCTTCCTAAACTATGAAAACACAAATTTCTGTTTTTTAAAGCCACTCACTTGTGGTATTTCTGTTATTGCAACTAGGAAACTATACATTCTTTATTTACTAAATAAATTGAATTTGTAGTTAAAAAACTTTTCACAAAGACAATTCCAAGCCAGATGGATTTGCTGGTGAATTCTAGCAAAGAATTAAGAAAGGAACCATACCGGTGCTGCACAAATTCTTCCAGAGAACAGAAGAGGAGGGAACATTTCTAAACTCAATGTATGAGACCAGTATTATCCCTATGCTGGAATCAAGCAAAGGTATTTCAAGAAAATAAAACTACAGATCAGTATTCCTCATAAAGATAAACACAAACAGCCTTACCAAAAGTTTTGTAATTCAAATCTAGCAATATATGAAAGAACAATTCGTCAAGATTAAGTGAGATGTGACCCAGGAATGCAAAGATTGTATAATATTTGAAGATCAAACAATATAATTCACCATATTAACATATCAAAAAAGAAAAAAATATATAACGGTATCAAAAGACATCAAAAAAAAGCATTTGACAGGACTTCTGGGAAGATGTGGTGTGAGCAGGTCTAAGATCCTGATCCTCCCACATAAGCACCAACAAAAACAACTAGAAATCTGCAATCTCAACTCTGTAAGAACTCTAAAAAGTAAGCAGAGGATTCTGGCAACTAACCACACAGTTAAACAAGAAAAAGGCAACTTTTAAATGGTAGGAAAATCTCTATTTCTCTACTGTCCCTGCCACTCCCCCTCCTGGTGTGGCAGCCAGGCAGCTGCAAACAGAAGCTGACCATGGCTTGTGTTCGCAAACAGGGAAGTCCTGGTATTGGCTGTGAGTTAGTTTGCTGGCAGACTGTTCAGTGTGTCTGTTGTGGACTGTCTGGGAGGTGCTTGTAGGACTGAAGCCTCATCTGGTATGAATCAGAGCTTACACATGGCAGGAGAGGGAGTGGCAAACAAAGAATGTAAGAACAAAATTATCAGGCTTTGATTGGGCTATAAGTTTATCCTTGTGTCCTAAGGGATAGCTGGTTAGGGTTGGGCATTCCTATCCAAACTACATGGATGTGTAGTGGAAAAATGATTTAAGAAATTTGGAGTGCAATTACAAAAGGGGGAGAAAATATTAAAGTTGTCAAGGATTTCATTTCACATGGATCCACAATCAATGCCCATGGAAGCAGCAGTCAAGAAATCAAACAACATATGGCACTGGGCAAATCTGTTGCAACACCTTTCTTTTCAAATGCTTCATATGCATGTGAAAGCTGGGTTACAAATAAGGAAGACCGAAGAATTGATGCCTGTGAACTATGGTGTTGGCGAAGAATATTGAATACACCATGCACTGCCAGAAGAATGAACAAGTCTGTCTTGGAAGAAGTACAGACAGAATGCTTCATAGAAGCAAGGATGGTGAGACTTTGTCTCACATACTTTGGACGTGTTATCAGGAGGGTCCAATCCTTGGAGAAGGACATCATACTTGGTAAGGTAGAGGGTCAGCAAAAAAGAGAGAGATCTTCAACGAGATGGAAAGACACAGTGAGTGCAACAATGGGCTCAAACATAGCAAAGATTGTGAGAATGGCATAGGAGAGGCAGTGTTTTGTTCCGTTGTATATAGGGTCCATAGGGTGGCTATGAGTTGGAACCAACTGGAAGCGCCTAACAACAACAACAACTACCTTGATCATACCATGGGCAGTTTTCTCAAGCCTTCTCCCCCTCAAACTTTCCATTTTCCCCATCTCCCGAATCTTTGTTAACATCTTCCTCTTCTTCCTGGTTCTGAGATTCCCAACTAGATTGTAAGCTCCATGATGGCAGGGGTCTGGCTTGTGTTGTTTACTACTGTATCCTTGGCACAGTGCCTGATGCATAGTAGAAAATCGATATATATTTGTTAAAGGAATGAATGAACACAGCACAGAATGTCTAGATACCATAGTCTCTGGGGGAAGGAACAGTATGGTATCATGCGTAAGGGTTCAACCAACCTGCCTCTACCATTCACTGGCTGTAGAATAACCTTAAAGAAGTTACTTAACTTTTCTGGGCCTCATAAGAATAACACAATCTACTTCACAGGGTTGATGTGAGGATTAAATGACTTAATTCATGTCAGGCACTTAGCACAGCGGGAGACACATAATAGATGCTGGAGAAATACTGATTGACATTATTGTTGCAGTCGCCCTGGTTTGCCTCTAGCCCACAGTCGGCACCACCACCACCAAAGAATTTCATTCCATTATCCCAAGTAAAAATCTTCCTCACAGAAGGTTTCCAAGAAATGCCTCATTAAAGAATTAGGATGGCACTTAACAACGACAACAATTTAAAAAGGGAGGGGAATGGATGCTGGGTAAATACAAACAGCAAATGTCTACTACAGGAAAGTTAGCAAATTGTTGCCTGAGAGAATTTCTCTCTATGGTTTTATACTACACAAGTAATACATGAATTCATATACAATACTTTTAACAATACAAATGGGTACAGAGAAACCTGAGAGGATTTCTGTGTTTATGCCTGTGGTTATTTTAAAAAAAAAAAAAAGCACCCAAACCCCAAAAACCAAACTTACTGCCCTGGAGTTGATTTTGAGTCATGGCGACCTCATGTGTTACAGATACAACGGTTCCATAGGGTTTTCTTGGCTGTAACCTTTATGGAAGCAGATTGTCAGTCCTTTCTTTTGTGTTGCTGGGTGGGTTTGACCTGCCAACCTTTAGGTTAATAGTCAAGCGGGAACTGTTTGCCTCACTCACTCATTGCTGTCGAGTCGATTCCAACTTATTGCAACCCTATAGGACAGAGTAGAACTGCCCCACAGGGTTTCCAAGGCTGTAATCTTTATGGAAGCCAACTGCCACATTTTTCTCCTGCAAAGCAGCTGGTGGGTTCAAATTGCTGACCTTCCAGTCAGTAGCCAAGCTCTTTAACCACTGTGCAGCCAGGGCTACTTTTGCACCACTTAGAGACCTTAAAAAAAGGCACAAACTCTTTTTATTTGCAAAATGTAACCTGCATTTGACTACCACTGTACAGCACAAAGTACTTTTATATGCATTAGATATCTTAAACCTTACAATAGCACTGGGAAGTAAGTATTATTAGCTCTACTTAATGGTAATAAAAGGAGTCCCTGGGCAGTGCAAACTGTTAAGAACTTGGCTGTTAGAATCTACCCAGAGACAGCAGTTCCACTAAGCACACTTGAGTTTGCCGTGAGTCGGAATTGACTGGATGGCAACTAACAATAATGGTAAGAAAACCTAGCAACAAGGAATACACATGGATGTAAATTTTTTACCTCTATCTTCCTTCTGATGGTGGTAGCAGTGGCAGAGCCTTTACCATTAGGGCCCCCACTGCATTTTGTGTTTTGATGGGACAATGAAAAAGGAAGACTGAAGAACTGACGTATTTGAATTAGGTGTTGGTGAAAAATATTGAATATTCCACGGACTGCCAGAGAATGAATAAATCTGTCTTGGAAGAAGTACAGCCATAATGCTCCCTACAAGCGAGGATGGCGAGACTTCCTCTTGCTTACTTTGGACATGATGTCAAGAAGGACCAATTCCTGGAAAAGGACACCAAGCTTGCTAAGATATGTTTTAATTTTATACGCAGTGGTCAGGGTCTGTCATCTACACCTTCCATGTTGTCCACTGTTCCTGCAGAACAGGAGCAAAATCTCACTCACATTCACGTATATACTCTCAGCACTTGGCTCAGTACTAGTCACTCAAGGAGACAATAACTTTATATTGAAGAAATTATAAATCTTCCAAGAAGCAACCAGTTGGAAAACCAAACCCGTTGCTGTCCAGTCGATTCCAACTCGTAGTGACCCTATAGGACAAAACAGAACTGCCCCATTGAGTTTCCAAGGCTGTAAATTTTTACAGAAGCCGACTGCCACATCTTTCTTCGTGGAGTGGCTGGTGGATTCGAACTGCCTACCTTTCGGTTAGCAGCTGGGTGACTGGAAAACAAAAGCCTGTAAACAGATATTGACTATAAAGTCCATAAACGGAATAATCTAATCACTTGTGATTATTCATTTTCGTTAATCTTATACGTGAGGTCCTTTTCGCATGTTTACATTACAGAATCAAAACTTTTAAAAATTATTACTTGCCCTTTCAGGTATTTCATAGCTATTCTAGCCATCTCTTTGGCCAATAATATGCCCTACTAGAGCGCATAAATTTTTTGTCCATTTTTTTTTTTAAAAAAACCAAGGCTTTTGTCAGTTATTTCTTGAGATCGAGTAGTTGTTTTCCTAGAGAAAGAGCAGCACTTCGGGTTTCTAATGAGGTGCTGGCTGGGGCCCAGTCATCAGTCCACTGAACCTCAGTAACTCACCAAACAAGCTTCTAATCTCGGGAACACAAACTACGGAAAAAGAGAAATCTTACAATCGCTAGCGCGCGGTGCCCAGCCGGAACCTTGACCTCAAGATGGCGTCGCGTAGTCACAAGATTCAATCAGCTCCAATCAAAAATGGCAGGGTGGGTCGTAATTTACAGCTCGAGTCTTTCTAGTACCCACTAGGCGTTTCCTCTCTATGGTTTTTCCGGCCCTGCGCCGCGATTCCAAAGCCAACAGCGCAGACTATCTAGCTACGTTCTTCTCTATGATTCTCAGCTCCACTCCCCACACCCCCCTCCGGCCGCAGTGCACGCCGGGCAAGAGGAAGACCTCCATAAGCTCCCCGCGCAGCGCGGCTGTGTTTGCGGCCTGTTAGAGTACGCGTCTCGGAACCAGTCTCACGGGTGAGCGGCGCGCAGAAACCTTGAACTGGTGGAGGCTACTCATAACTTGAAGCCCGGAAAGGGTGCTTAGATAGTACCGTTTCCTCAGCGGCGGGTGAGTTCACGCTTCTGAACGCGTATGGAAACCAGGAGACTGGGTACCTCCGTTGGGTGAGGAGGGAAAGCCGGGGTGGCTGCGAGGAGGCCGGGGTGGGGTGGGGTGAGGGGGGAATTGGGGTGGGGGAAGGGACGGGCACGAGGCTTGGGTTTCTTAATTTCTCTTAAGACCTCGAAAACCAGTGTGTCCAGCTCGGGTCGCTGGAGCCCCTGGAGGCCAGACCTACGGCCTGAGCTTTTCTTTGCATTATCGCCCACTTTACCTTTCCCCTCCACGTTCTGCCACGGAGTAAGTCGCCTTGGCTCCTTTGAGCTCTACGTTTGCCACAAAACGATCGGTGTGCCCTGGGGGAGCCCTTCCCTTAGACCCCTCTCTCACTCGCGCTCGGAGAGCCCAGCGATAGGTTTTCCGGGCCTAGGACACACTCGCTCTGGGCTCTGCCGTGAAGGCAGCCTGCATTCACCCTTTTTAGCGAGTTGCTGGCCACTAACGGATTTCTTTCCCTTCCTCTTTGGTCATCTAGAGCCCGCCACCAAGCGAAGAGGGCCGCACCCACTTTGAAATTTGCTAATATCCACCTTTTTTTATAGCACCTTTGCAGCTTGCTAGTCCAAGATTGTGATGAGTATTGTCGTCCTTCCCCCAACCCTCATTGGAGGATGCAGTAAACTGTTACTGTCCATTCATACTAGACAATTACCAAAGTTCAGATTAAAATGTGTTACTTCTTTCTTACTCCTTTTTGGTCTTTAATATTACTTTTTAAATGCGTTTTTCAAAACAGTTCTAGGAATATGAAGATTATTTTGAAGTTATATAATATGGATTTATATTGCCGTGGAAATGCCATTTTAATACTGGGCAGAGAGGAACAGACCAAAAGGAGTGAAGAGATTGGACTTCTGGTTTCGCACCGGACTGTTATAGTGTGACGTGATGTGTATTAGGTAGTTGGCAGTAGTGTATGAAAAAATTCTGTATTGTCTTGAGACCTTTAATTTTTAAACGGTTATTTCCAAAATCATTCAGAGGCCTAGAAAGCCATTCATTTGGTCTTCAGTTCCAGTCCGTCATGGTTCAAGTAGACATCATCCTATTCTAATTCATGTTTCTTAAACCTTGGTTTTTCTTCATCTGTATAATGAGGATTGTAATAAGGATTGTAACCTTATAGGTTATTGGGATTGGGGAGTAATTGAGAAAAATGTGTGTAAAGTTCTTAATGCAGTACCTAAGTAACATAGGTGTTTAATTTGTGTTGGCTGATATTTGTTATTCTTAAAGAATTTTTAGTGAAGTACAAGAGCCTACCGTGACACTAACATTTCTTCCTGTATAGTCTGAACAGGCTTTTATAAATAAAGTTAATCCTTAAGTTCCTTGCTCTCATTGGTATGTTATTACTAGAAAGAGGCATGGTGGTATAGTGAAAACAGCCATTGGATTCCTGATTTAAGGATAGTCCTCCACCTACTTAATCTGTTCTTTTGTACATGTTTTTTCATTCATAAAAGAGAATAATATATCTACTCCAGGTTATTTTGAGATTAAATGAAATAGTGCATGTTGGCAGCTCTTGTAAACAGTAAGGCTAAATAAAAATATTAGTTGATATTTTTATTAAATCATCATCTTGAGTTTACCAAGATTTCTTCCTTTTTGACCACCAAAGTGTTTTCTTTTTTTTTTCCTTTTTGTGGGGAGAGGGGCGGGTAAGACTTGGGTAGGGTACCAAAAGGAGACTTTTAGGAAGAATATTTTTGTTTTCCTATTGTTGCATATAGGCACCGTATATTAATAATAGTTATAAGTTTTCTTTTTTCATAGTTTAGTACCTTTTTATTCCGCTGTGTTGAGGGTCTGAAATAATTTTTTTAATAAAGTTTGTCCGTTTTAAAATTGAGCAACTACTTCAGAAGTAACATAAGTTTGAGATGTTTCAGGTTAAGTTACTTTTTTGGCTACAGATAAATTAGCTATATACTTTTCTGATTATATTGATTAATTTGTAACTTTGGAAGAAAAAGTAATCATTGAACTTTTTAACATCTTGTAAAAACATTTGTGTATTTTTAAAATCTCTTGATAGTCTTTTCTAACACTGTCACTGCCATTCATAAAAGAATTTTCATTGATTACCTGTTACAGTTTCTTGAATACAGGGTAACTTTTTTTCTCCCAAACTTTTTTTTTTTTTTAAATTTTAAAACTTGCAGAAAGTGAAAGGGAGAATATAATAATCCCACTACCCGTTGTTATGATTGGTCTTTTTTTTTGCCTACTTTTTTTTTTCCTTATGGTAAATATGGAAAACCCTGGTGGCGTAGTGGTTAAGAACTACAGCTGCTAACCAAAAGGTTGGCAGTTCGAATCCACCAGGTGCTCCTTGGAAACCCTATGGTGCAGTTCTCCTTTGTCATATAGGGTTGCTGTGAGTCGGAATCAACTCGATGACAACGGGTTTGGTTTTTTTTACGGTAAGTATGTAAGTAACAAGACAAAACCTGTACAGTTCAGTGACACTAATTCTGTTCATCCAGTACCATTTACCTTTCCTGAACTTTTCTATCACCCTTAACAGAATGGTATTGCTTTTTTAACTTTTTATTTTGACAGTTTCAAATTTACAAAAAACTGCAATAATAATACAAAGAATTCTCAAATACCTTTCAATCATATTCCCCAAATGTTAACCTTTTGCCAATTTTCTTCATCCTCCTCTCCATTTTTCTTCTGAAATGTTTTGCTAGTAAGTTGCAGATTTGATACTTCTCAGTTTCCCCATACTTAAGTGTATATTTCCTAAAAACAAGGACATTGTGTTATTTAACAACAGTATAATGATCAAAACCAGGAAATTAGCATTATCTAATCTACCGGTGTCAATTGGATTTTGCTAGCTTTAGTAAGGTATGATTGACATTACCATAACATTGACTTGGTATGAATACCGAGTTTTAGTAAATGTAGAGTTGTACATCAGTCACCACAATCCGGTTTTAGAACATTTCTATCACCCCAAAAAGATCCCTCTTGCCATTTTGCAAGTCATTCCCTGTTTCCACCCCAGGTCCAGGCAACCACTAATCTTTCTATTTTTGTAGTTAGTATTGCTTTTTAATCATTGAGAATGGTAAAATAGCAAAGTGGAAGTTTTCCAGAAAAAGATCATCCTCCTTTTAGGAGATTCAAAACATTGGAGTACTTTATGCCTATGAAAAGCTTTGCCATAAAAAACACTTTTTTGGCTAATCAGACATTTTCTTGATTCTTCTTTGGGCATGGAACATCTTTTTTCTAGGAATAATTTCTGCAGAGACTCAAGTTCTGTGGAAATTCAGTTTGAGAGGTGATGTAAAGAGATTGCTTTGTTTAGACTGGAGCGGTTGTATCAGTCTCCAGTGTACCTAGCAAACTGAGCAGAACAGGAAACAGCATGTGTTACACTAATAATCGTTTATATTCAATATATAGCCACTGGGCTGACTGTATAATTTTATATAGTAACTTATTTTTCACACTTTCAGAATACAAATAATGCCTAGAAAAGAACCTGGCACGGAGTTGGAGGTAGATATTTATTGAACAAGTTGTATATGAATGTTTACAGAGATGAATCTATTGCTCTATTTGTGTCTTATCATTTCAGAAATTTTTTGGCACACGGTGTAATGGGGCTGGCCTGTAAATTCACCCCTGGTGAAATACTTTCTATGTGGATAATTCTGCAAAGGAAGAATGCTTAGAAGCAGAAACTCACTATATTTTGCGTGCCTGTGGCATTCTCAGGTGCCGGAAAAAGAATGGTTTGAAAGAGTAAAGATAGGAGTTAAAAAGAAAAAAGCAAGATGCATCCATATGTAGAGATAAATGGTAGTAGAGAGAAATCTTATGTGTTTTGTTTTTTTGACCAAATTTATTGCAATAAAATTTACATACAATAAAATGCACCCATTTTAAGTTTGAAGAGTTTTCGACAAATCCATGCACCTGTGTGACCTCTCACTTGTGATATGGAAGACTTCCATCATAGGTGCTTGTTTTTGTTACTTTGGGCTACCGAGTTTCATACTTGGCAGGTAAAAATGCTTTAAACTTTGTAAAAGAGAAGCACTGCTGATTCAAACATTTTTTTACAATGCTATATAGATCATTTTAGTGCTAATAAAATACATCTGCCTCTCTTAAACCCCACCTACAATCCTTCACAAATAATAATGTCTGTTTTCAGAATATATGTACAGAATCCAGCCATTTGTTATCACTTACATTACTAGGCCGCCATCTCTTCTCTGGATTATCGCAGTAGCCTCTTATATTCTTGTTCCTCTCCAGTCTTATTTAACACAGTGGCCAGTGAAACTACTAAAATGCAAGTCAAGTCAAAACCTTTCAAATGTTTTTCATCTTATTCAGAGTAAAAACGAAAACCTCTACTGTGGCCTACAAAGCCCTATTTTCTTAAGACACACACACCCCACCCCCATTAATACTCAGCATTTGTCTCCTACTTTTCCTCATTTGCTCTGCTCTGGCCATACTGTTGGCTTTACTCTTCCTCCTTCTTGGCCTTGGCTGTTCCTCCTTCAAACATTCCATGCCCACCTCAGGCTCTTTGTATTCTCTGTTTCCTATACTGGGAAGGTTTTTCCCCAGATACGATTATGGCTTCCTGCCTCAGCCTGTTTCAAGTCTTCGTTCATGTCACTTTCTTAGTGAGGTCTGACCACTGTACTTATTTATTTGTTACATGGTTACTTTACCAGTTGTTCATTTTATTGTTATGTACTATAACTTAATTATTTTATGTGTATTCTTGAGTATAACATTTTACATTTGAACAGGATCATTTTAAAAACCTACAGGCATTATATAGAAAATGTCATTTTTCATGGGCAAAACTATTTTCTAACTCTCTAAAATGTTTCTTGCATAGTATGGAATAAGTTGTAGTAAATTAATTCATGTTCCCCTTTCATTACTGTGTTGAGAAATCTTTTCTGGCTCATAATTAAATGATTCTCGTATTTCCCCCTGAAATTATTCAGACATGAAGGAGTGTAATGCAATAAAGACCTTTTTATTCTTAATATTCAGACTATGTTTTGGCCACAGATAGTTTTTATTTTTTTCCATCTTTTGAAGTATGGATTGCTTCATTATGTTTCTGTTGCCATAGAAATGTTCAGCTGGCTTTTTTTTTAATTTTGTATTGCTCTTGTTGATAATATACACAGCAAAACATACACCGGTTCAGAACCGCCATATTTAAAATAGCTCTCTTACCTGCTTTATTTTTCTACAGAGCACTTACCAACTTTCAATATCTCTATAATTTATTTATGAGAGTGTTATAATTTGTCATCTATAGGTGATGTAACTGATTAGCTTTGCTTAGGCTATGAAAGTTTATTCTCAATCATTTTCTCTTGTGCCAAAACATATAAAACTTTGTTGAAATAAGTGGTGGTTACTCATTTCAGGATATTTAAAGTGAACATTTATTTATTAAAGAGCACCAGAAATGTACTTTTTCTGAATTTCCATATGAGGTGTTCATTGTTTGTATAATCATACAAATTAGCCCATTAACTGCTATATTTTTACTTTCATTTTTGAAGTCCAGCCTGTGAGTGAGCAAGTTTTAAGCAGTTCCAGATAACAGAGAAATATTTCATAGAAAAATTACAAGCAAATGGAATAGGTATATTGCTATAAACTAAATGTGTATAGTCTGTTTAACTTTTATTGAGTTAATTATGTATTTTAGAAATGTGAAATATAGTTTAAACACTAAGACCATAGAGTTTTTTTTTTTAATATATATTTATATCTAGTAATGGGAAAAAAAAAGTGATTCTAAAGCTAAATTCATGACCTTTGTAGTCAGTGGGTCATTGCTGGCTAGTACCTGGCAAGTAGTTGCTTCTTAATAAATTTGTTTAACGAGGTCCTCACAGTTTGTTTATTGATTCATTCATTAATTATTTATTCAACAGGTATTAAAACCAACTGCCCTCCTAAGAAAATGCTGAGATAGAGTATTATAATGATAATACAAGAGCTTCTGTAAGTAGGACAGTAGCACTCTGTTTTAAAAGGCAGATACAATCCCTTCTTCCCCTTTCCGTATAGAATTTGTTTTTTTTGGGGGGGGTGGGGGGCAAAATGGTATTACAAATTATAGAATTTAAAAAAAACACATTTATGATTTTAATAGTATTTTTAAAAATTTGTTAAGTATGTGACATCATCTTAGGAATTCCCTTTACCTGTAAAGTTATCCAAATATTTTATGTATGCTGTGTTTCATGAAATTGAAATTTAAAGTTTTAAAATATTGTATTTTCCCAACTTACTAAGTCAGAGAAACACTCGGAGGGAGAACAGCTGTGAGCATGAAAGAAGTACTCCTCTAAGACTTTCTAAAATACGGCTAATAAACAGATAAAAAGATGATCAACCTCATTAGTGTTAGAGAAATGCAAATTAAGAGGATTTTTTACCTACAAAATTGTTAGAATTTAAACACAAAATTTTGCCTGTGTTGGTAATGGTGAGAATATAAGGAAAAGGAGAGTACTCATAGACTGGTGGTGGGAATATAAATTTGTACCAAAGTTGTGGAGGATGATTTGTATGTAATGTGTATTATGGAATACTTGCACAGTTCCATAGGGCTATACGCCCAATATGTCCAAGAATGTTCAACATTATTTGTAAGAACTAAAAAGTGGAGGCAGCCATCAATGTTAAATTGTTTTATGTTTCTGTTACAATAGTTTGCAGAATTACAAAGAATAGAATAGAGTTTTATGAAATGACATGAAGAGATGTTAATGATAACAAGGGAGAATTGCATGTAACAATATAGTATGATTACATTGTTTGCAGAAAAACAAATACATATTAGTTTGGGTATAGAAAGATATTTAGAAGAATACAGTGTATCCACCCATTGCCCTCAAAGAGTTGATTCCACCTTAGAGAGAGACTACAGAACAGAGTAGAACTGCCTCATAGGGTTTTGAAGGCTATAAGTCTTTATGGAAGCAGACTGCCACATATTTCTCCTGTGGAGTGAGTGCATGGTGGGTTCAGATTGCTGACTTTTTGGTTAGCTGAGCGCCTAACCACTGGGCCACCAGGGCTCCTTATATCAAACTGTAGTAAATGGAAGATTTGCACTTTTTACCTACTCTCTTCTGAAGGGTGAGTGAAACAATATATAAAATGTAAAAAAAAAAAAAAAAAATAGACAAACATTTGTTAAACTTTCAACAACTCTAGACTCCTTCAGTTATGGCATATAGGTAGGGGAGTTTTTCCTAGTGTCAAATATCTTCTGTTGATGAAATCACTAATTGAAGTGGAATCACTGATACAGGATCAATGTACCTGTTTCAGCTATTTTTATTGGTACAGGGAACCCTCCTACAACATCCTAACATTGTTTTTCTACTTTCTTCAGGAGTTCTAGACTCTTTAATTATGTTGACAAAAATACAAAGTTTTAAGTAAGGAAAAGTTTTAAAAACTTCTATTGTTTAAAATAAAATAAGCTAAAGTACAAAGTTGGATTTCCTTTAAATGATACTATGACAAACTAAAACAGTATTCTTGAATTTTTTTTAAAAAATCAAATGGTAGCATCTGATTGTTGAATTTGATTCATGAATGATTAAGAGGTTTGCTTTTAAGTTTAAAATGGTTACTTTTTATCATTGCCATCAATTGTATGTCCTCTGTGTTTGAGTGGTTACTATGTGACCTCGTATCAGGAGTCTTCCTTTTCCTCAGGTTTGTAGTTCACTGATAACTTGTCCTTGAGGAACTGCCCATCTTGAATCAACAAATACTGTGTAACCTTGTAAATTAGTTTTCAGGATGCTGATGGGTATAAAAAAAAGTGTGCATCAGTTCACTTAAAAAAAAAAAATACTATTAGATACCCTCCTGGAGTCTGAGTTTGGTTTTAAAAGATTGGTTGATGTTTGGCATTTAATTTTTGGATATTAACTGAACCTCAAAAATTTTTTCTTCCCTTTATATGTATTCCCATATGATTGTAGGAGTCTATCCTGAACTTAGATCCTGTACATTTTGGGAACTTATTTTAGAAAAGATCTAAGTTTTAATTCTCAATGGACAGACAGAGAAAAGAGGGTCTTTGCCAACTTCTATGGGTAAGAAAACTTTAGAATTTTGCAGATACTCGAAAAATGAAGGTCAACAATGCAGGCATATTGAATAGTAAAGTTTTCAAATAAAATGATTTGTCATGATTTCTTTCTTTAGAACACTGCAGTAAGAATGTCTTTCCCCCCTCATTTGAATCGTCCTCCCATGGGAATTCCAACACTTCCACCAGGGATCCCACCCCCACAGTTTCCTGGCTTTCCTCCACCTGTACCTCCAGGTACGTTTGTTGATACTGTTTGATTTTAAATTTGTATTTTTGTCATTGTAATATTAACTTTAGGAAAATGTTAATATGTTAGTAGTAAAGATGCTTGTTAGCATCATTCTAGAAATGTGGTTGTCTCATTTTCCTATGGCAGAGGTTTGCAAATTTGAGCACCAAATTCATCTGGGAAGTTTTGTTTTTTTTTTTTTTTTTAATCAAGTAATATATTCACGGGGTTCAAAAATGAAAATACATAGAAAGGTGTATAGTGAAAATTTTCTCCCACATGCTCATGCATCTGCTGTGACTGTTTCCCTACTAGACAAGTGATGCAAAACAGGATCATTAATTTTTTCTTTATCATTCCAGATATTTTTCATGCATATTACAAGCCAATAAAAGTATACGTTTTATACTTTACTTTTATTCTGCTTATACAGACATATAGTAGCATCCTATATACACTGTTCTCCCCTTTTTTTTTTCCTTTACTTGATAATATATCTTGGAGAACTTTCCAAATCCATATCTAAAAGCTTCCTCTTTCTGAAATTCTACAGAATTAAAGATTTTTCAGGCCCCATCTTACCCCACTGAATCAGATTCTCAGAAATTGGGGCCCAGGAATCTTTGTTTTTAACATGTTGCCAGGTGTTTTTTAGACATTTGTTTAAGCACAGGTAGGAGAACCTACATTTGAGAACCATTATCCTAAAGTACATGGTTAGCATTGCTTGGCCTAAGGGAAGGAGATAGTTTTCTCTTGGCTTATGGGTGACAGTTCAGATATTTTTCTATTTTGATCCCACCCTTAGAAAAGATAGTATCTAAGAGCTCCTTTCTTAATTTGCATGTTGGAGTATTTTCTTTTGACGTAGAATTCATGTAATTCAGACTGAAATCCGTAAATACTTTTGTAAATCAACATATATGAGTATTTCTATTTGAAGAAAGCTTTAAATCATGGACCTGTTTTTGTTTGTTGTTGTTGAGAATATGCACAGCAAAATATGTACCAGTTCAACAGTTTCTACATGTACAATTCAGTGACATTGATTACATTCTTCAAGTTGTGCAACCATTCTCACCCTCCTTTTCTGAGTTGCCCCCCCCCCCCGCCCCCGTTAACATAACTCACTCCGCCTAAGGTTCCTATCTGATCTTTCAAATTGCTGTTGTCACTTCTTAAAAGAGCTCAAGGCAGACATTTTTTTACTAGTCAAGCTAAAGTAGTTGATTTTAAGAAGACTTCAGGGAATATTTTTGGTTTAATGTTTAAAGATTATCTCAGGACAGTAGTTTCAGCATTACATCCAGCGTCCATGGCTCCAGAAAGTCTAGAGTCCGTGAGAATTTGAAATTCTGTTCTGCCTTTCCCCCTTTTGATCAGAATACTTCCGTAGAATCTTTGATCAAAATGTTTAGTAATGGTAGCCAGGCACAATCCAGTTCTTCTGGTCTCGTGGCAAAGGACGCAGTTGTTCATGGAGGCAATTAGCCACACATTCATAGACCTGTTTTTAAGTATTGGATTTTCTATTAGAAATGAAAAATTTTTACTAAAGAGCTTGAAGTTGAAAAGTCAAAAGTACATTGTAGTTGGCTCATATGATGGGTTAATTCATAATTTGTGCAATAAAGAGTTTATACAAACATCAGATCTGCCATTATTTTGGATTGGACTACTTAGTTCTTATTTACTCTTTAATTAGGGATAGTTTATTGCCATAGGCTCAGTTTTGGGGACCTCCCACCCCTAGGTCCAGATGATAGCAGTGTTTTAGTAGATGTGTAAAGCCACAGGATAAACATGGCTATCTTTCTAGGATATCAATTATAACTTGAAGAATTTAGAACAAAGTTATAATTTTTAAAATCAGACCGACTCTTTATGTCTATGTATCGGAGTAGAATACAATATTTGTCCAGATTTTTAAGACATTCATCCTTGTAGCAGGCTATTTTAAACTGTGCTTCTAGTAGTGGAAAAGTTTAAATACTACCAGTTTATTTTCCCACGTAACAATTACTGAATTTTGGACAGTAATGTAGTTTCTCTGTAATGGACTCTAATGGAATTTCTACTGGAATGTGGATTGAGGAAGGTAGTGTTATCAGAAAATTAAAGTTAGTCATCAGCCATCACATATCAACTTTAGAAGAACAGTGTCCTGAGTCACTTCTGTTTAGGCATCAGGTTTTTTTTTTTTTTGGTCCATATATCCTCATTTTGTTCATATATTTATAGTTGCATAATACAGATCTGTTTTTGTTAGACCTTAGTAACCATGATACTTTTAAATAAAGCCCTGGTGCTATAGAGTTATTGTTGTTGTTAGGTGCCCTCGAGTCAATTTCAACTCATAGTGACCCCACGTGACAGAATAGAACTGCTCCGTAGGGTTTTCTGGGCTGTAATCTTTATGAGAGCAGATTGCCGGGTCTTTCTCCCACAGACCCACTGGGTGAGTTCAGACTGCCAGCCTTTTAGTTAGCAGTCGAGTGCTTACTAATTTACTTTCTATTTCTTTGTGAAGAAATTTAAGTGAGTGGGAGGGAAGGTTAATCACTTGTTCAGAATCAGGAAGGATAACAATGGAAAATCAGTGTCTTAATTTCCTTGACAGTAGATTGGATTTATAGAAATATTTTAAATTCCTTTGAAGTTTTAAATAACCAGTACTAAGTGTAACATTTTCTAATGAACACTGTACCAAATGATAAAAGGAAGTAGAAGGTAATTGAGGCATATTTCTCTTAAGGCTGCTCCTTCTGTCTCTTTTAAGATGGGTCAGGAGACCCTAAAACCAGATTTTCAGTATTTCGTGCTGCCTGTTTGGCTGATGCCATACTGATTGTGGGTATTCGTTCACAGAGTGGAACGCTGTTATAATTCTGATTCCATTAGTAACAGTGTAAGTTACTATTTCTGTTTAGGGAAACATACTTGTGTTTCAGGTTAGTCGCCACTTGCATTCTGTGTGCAGCACCAGTAACTTTGAAAAGGTAATGAATGAAATAATATTCTAAATTAGTGGAATTCAAAACTGCAATACCTGTCTTAATGTATAATTTTTTCATCTTGCCTATTAATGCCATTAAGTGAACACTAAGTGAGATAACGTGGCAATCACTTTATGCATTAAATTAGAAAATAAATTTGAAAAAGTCATAATTTTTCCTTGAAAATTAATAAATGCATATGGATAAATAGAACGCCCCCCTCCCCCAATTCCTTGGTTCTCTTCTCCAGAGATAGCCTTTCTTATACTACTGATGACTGTAAAAAGGAAGAAGAAAACTTCAGTATGCCTTTTTCTGAATGTTTTCTTTAATAGAAAGTTTACCTATGGGAGAGGTGCCACAAAGATTACACTTGGTAAATAGGGGAGTATCTGTTTCTTTTGCAAAGTTCAGGTGGAAAATTTAGATACAAGTTGATTAGACTTTTGAGCATCCGCTGTACTTAAGTGCTCACAGTCAACCTCACAGACACTGAGGAAATAATTACCTCACTGGAATTAAGGAAACTGAAGAAGCTGGGGTTAAAGAGCTTGCCCAGGGTTGCATAACTGAAAATTATAGAACCAAGAAATGAACTCAAGTTTGATTCTGAAGTATGTTTATTTTGTAAGTTTTCTGTAGACTTATTGATTATTCATCTTGATTTTTTTTTTATCTTTTAATCGTATTTTGAAAACTGAAATTATTTTAAATTCATTATATTTGTCAAAGGGATAGTGTTAAATATAAGAATTTACTGTCAGTCTTAGATAATTAACTTGATGCTAAGTTTGAACCGAAGGATGACTCACGACTTAAAGATATATTTAGAAACATTTTAAAATATACATTAGAAAAGTAGACAAATCTCTAACTGATTTTGCCTTTATTGGAAGCTTTTTCTTAGTTCTCAAATGGTAAGTTTTTTTTTTCTTATTCTGTGAATGAGAAAACAAGGGCTCTTAATAAAACAACCATTGATTAGTAAACCCTGTAATTGAAAACAAAAATATAAATGCAAATACCACTAAGTTGTCAATACTAGGTAGCCTATTGACAGCTCTTAAATGCTCAAAATGAGTTATTCATAGCAGCAGATACTTGTCTTAGAGATTGGTTTCTTATTAACAGTGGTCGAAATTACTGAACTCATTTTTTGCATGATTTTTGTTTTCTATTAAAAAGCCAGGAATAGCAAGATTCTTCTTAGATTTCTTAATTCTTAATTTATTTAATTTATTCTTAATTTAATTAATTTCTTAATTTCTCATTTGTTACTTGTTTTTACTTTTAAACCATTCATTAATACCATTGGTCACCCATAGTAAATCTGTATTTGTGAAATGTGCCGATTTTGAGGGTCTGCCTATCCAGATGAACATGAATCGATAAACTATTCAGAATTTTGTGCTCTTTAACTACATGGTACCTGGCTACCACCACTTACTGCTCTGACAGAGATCCCAATAGAGGGTCCCAGACAGAGCTGGAGAAAAATGTAGAACAAAATTCTAACTCACAGAAAGAGACCAGACTTACTGTTCTGACAGAGACTGGAGAAACCCCGGGAGTATGGCCCCCAGACACCCTTTTAATTCAGTAATGAAGTCACTTCTGAGGTTCAGCCTTCAGTCAAAGATGAGACAGGTCCAGAAAACAAAATGAGACTAAAGGGACACACCAGCCCATGGGCAAGGACGAGAAGGCAGGAGGGGACAGGAGAGCTGGTAATAGGGAACCCAAGGTCAAGCAAGAAGGGAGAGTTGTTGACAGGTCGGGTTAGTAACCAATGTCACAAAACAGTATGTGTACTAATTGTTTAATGAGAAGCTAGTTTGTTCTGTAAACCTTCATCTAAAGTACAGTTAAAAAAAAAAAAAAAGTGACATACAGAATTTTGTATTCCTTAAGGCAAAAACTGTGCATGTGTGATAGCCTGTTTGCTTTCAGAATAGTTTTTTGTTGCATGTAAATTCACATAGATACACCTGATTATACATTGCTTTTGATTTATCAGTATCTTTTCATTAGTTCTACATTCCTACTTATATTAACTGTGAATAAAGATATTTATTTGTATGGCTTGTAGCTGTTACAGAATATGCTCATATGTAATGATATTCTTAAGACTCATTATCTCCCCCCCTCCTTAGGAACTCCAATGATTCCTGTACCAATGAGCATTATGGCTCCTGCTCCAACTGTAAGTATAATTTTAAGAAGGAATTAGGAGATAGGGTAGTGCTAGTGTTTTTAAAGCCAAAAAGCTTTGGTAAACCTAGATGAGATATTTGTAAGTGTTTAAAAGAGTAACAGAAAGAGAGTGAGAAACACCCATCTATATCATACTACTAATGTGAATAAGTATCATATGCAATTGTACCATGCATATGGTAATAGGTAGTTTTATGATTTTCTCTTTAAATGCTCTCTGGACACTTGCCTGGGTTGCACACTGGTTAAGTGCTTGGTTGCTAACCGAAAATCTATTTAGAGCTGCCTCAAAAGAAAGGCCTGACGATCCACTCCCTTAAAATCAGTCATTGAAAACACTTTGGAGCGCAGTTCTACTCTTATACACATGGGGTTGCCAGGAATTGGAATTGACTCAGTGGTAACTGGTTTGGTTTTTAGTTTTAGACATTTATATACTTGTTACTACAGATTTAGGACACTGGCTCTTTTTCATCACTGCCTCATCTTGTTTGTCCTGGGAGTTAGGAGAATGATTTGCCATGTCTTACCTCTTAAATGAAAAAAATAAAAGAATGTAGGAGCGGCCCAACCAAAAATTTCGATTTTAGGAGTGAAATTGGTGTTGAATACCTTTCTGCTCTTTCCCTACCCCCTCTCATTTTTAGCCCCTTCCACGTTATTTTCATTTTAGTTTTCCCTGTCCTCTTGTATGACCCCTTCAAGTTTTGTTTAGCTTTATTGAAGCCTTTCCTCTGTGGAAGTGCTCTATCATTCATCATCATCATCTTGATCCTTAACTGTCCAGGCATCTTAGTTAAGAAAAAGTCATATAGCTGATGGACTATAACGTGAATAAACAATAATTCTCTTAGCTTTTATTTAACTCAAATTTTGTTTGTTGGAGTTAATTGGTAGAATATCAGGCAGGCTTGAAATGAGGGAGAGTAGAACTCATTACTTTCAACTATGTTTTGATCTGTGTAGTTTGAGAAGAGAGGAGAATGTTATTTTTATTAAAAGGCAAAAGGGAACTAGATGGGCAAATAGGAATCTACTGTGAGGCTGTCCATTAATGTGATGTGGTTCTGCAGCCCAAGATGAGTGCAGCTTTTCTTGCTTTGGGCACCCATAGTTTGGCTATTTTGGAAAACCTCCACAGGACAGTACCCTTACCCCTAGTGTTTCAGGCTAGAACAGGTAAGAGTTTGGAGCAGCTCCCCTAGCTCATCACTATTTATTCAGTGCTTACTGTGGGTGTTGTGCTAAATTCAGTGCCAGATACAATGATGAGTAAGACTCCATTCTTTCTTCTGGGAAGTCAAATGTTATAAAGAGAAAGTAAAATAGGAACATAAGTAACTGATAAAAGGCAAAATGTAAGTTTGGGCAGAGTGCTATGGGAGTATTAGAATATTCTGCCAGAGGATTAGCAGGAATAATTGAAATGTGCTTTTATACTGTTATAGAGAGTAGAGTTGTAAAAAAACTTCTGGATATAGTTGATAGTTTTAAATGGTTTATTTAAAAATTAGCTGAGTTTTGAGTCAAATTATTTTCATTTGCATTTTCAAGTTGTTTTTAAAGAAAGGTAGTCGAATAGTGGAACCTGTCATGAACATGTTTTTATTAATGAAAAGTGCTGTGTGCTTTAGAAGTTTTAGATGGTAGATATGGAGAAGCTTTAATAGTAATGTGTTATATATCTATTACTTTAAAATTGATATTTTTAGCCTAACCTTACATTAAACTTGATAGGAAATTTAATTGCCAGATCACATTTTATTGCTGTTCTTCACCTTAGGTCTTAGTACCCACTGTGTCCATGGTTGGAAAGCATTTGGGAGCAAGAAAGGATCATCCAGGCTTAAAGCTTAAAGAAAATGATGAAAATTGTGGTCCCACTACTACAGTTTTTGTTGGCAACATTTCCGAGAAAGCCTCAGACATGCTTATAAGACAGCTCTTAGCTGTAAGTGAAACTGTTTATTTTTCATTTTTAAAATTTTGTATTATTAAAAATTTCAGACCTATGAAAAAGCAGAAAGAGGACCCTGAAATGATTATTTTACTGCAACTTTTTATTTTGAAAAAATTTTAATCCTGCAGAAAAGGTGAAAGAGTATAATGAACACCCTTATACCCCTTTCCTAGGAATCTCTGGGTGGCACAAATGGTTAAATACTCAATTACTAGCTGAAAGGTTGGGGGTTTGAAGCCACTCGGAGGTTCTTTGGAAGACAGGCCGTCAATGTGCTTCTAAAAGGTCATATCCTTGAAAACCCTGTGGAGCAGTTCTGCTTTGCACACATGGAGTTGCCATGAGTCTGAATTGACTTGATGGCAACTAACAACAACAGCATAATCCTTTTAGATTAATCAATTAACGCTTTTTGCCATATCTACCTTCTCTCTCTCTCTGCATATGTACGCATACACACGCGCCCCTTTACGCGCTTTTCTTCCTGAACAACTTGAGAGTAAATTGTGACATTGCATTTCACCTCTGAACACTTTGTATATCTCCTAAGAGCAAGAACATTCTCCTACATAACCACAATTTTTTTTATTATTGTACTTTAGATGAAGGTTTACAGAACTAGCTTCTCATTCAACCATTATTAGTATACATACTGTTTTGTGACATTGCGTAACCAAAATTTTTTTGCATGGTATATCCAGCGTTTTCCCATGTTATTAAAAACCCTTCATAAATATGTACATATTTTAAAACAATCGTAATGGAGTCATACTTACTTTATTAGAGTTTTTTTTTTTTGTTTTTTTTTTTAATGCATTCTAACATTGGACGCTTGGAGTCCCTGGGTTAACTTGGCTGCTAACTGAAAGATTGGCAGTTTGAATCTACCCAGAGGTGTATCTGAAGAAAGGCCTGCTGATCTACCTTCCCAAGATCTACTTCCCCAAAATCAGCCACAGGGTTGCCATGAGTCGGACCAGTGGCAACTGGTTTCTTTTTTTAACTATGGGGCACTTGGGTTTTTATATTTTATTTTTTGTAGGATAAATAATGCTGTAAAATTTCTAGTTTGTAAAAGTTAATTTCTCACGAAGAATCAGTAAGGATTTTTTATATATTTATCTTAAAATGATTTGTTACACTTTTTTTTTTTTCATATCATAGGTTTGTGGGAATTGGGAGAATTTTAACCAACTTAGCTGGTGGTGTGATCCCCATGCCACCCCCTCTCCACCCTACTCCCCATGAAAATGTAATTGTCCTTTTGTGTTTGAATTAAAAATTTGTGTATTTTGTTAAGTAGTTACGTTTTTTTTGTTTGTTTTTAAGAAATGTGGTTTGGTTTTGAGCTGGAAGAGAGTACAAGGTGCTTCTGGAAAACTTCAAGGTAGGTAATTTTTCCCTTATTTGTTGAGATCATTTTAACTTGTGTGCGTAAGTCAGTTTTTGCATGTTTTATTCTCATTGTCCTTAACCGTGGAAGTTCTACTAGCACTCTTTATGTTCCTTCCTATTGAAATAGGATTAAAAGTCATTTGGGAAGATGTTGGCATTTTTAACATTTATCAATTCATGGCCAGTTGTGTGTCATCTGTACTCCATCCACTTCTTCCCGAACACCAGATCATTTTCTCTAAATATTTTAGTATGTGTGGCTAAAAGATAAAGGCTTTTTTTTAAAAAAAAAAAATCCAAGATTTTATTATAAGACCTTTTGGTTGTTCCAGGTGCTAATGAAAGTGAAATGCTTACCAAAGGCAATGATGGAAAGGGGAGGAATGAGGACTTGGATTATCCTTGTATTATGATATTTGGTCTCTAATGATTTTAATTTTCTATAATATTTTTTCATCTTTCATAATTGCATTGATATTTCACTAATTCTTTACATCCATTGCTAGCCTTTGGATTCTGTGAGTATAAGGAGCCTGAATCTACCCTCCGTGCACTCAGGTTATTGCATGACCTGCAGATTGGAGAGAAGAAGCTGCTTGTTAAAGTTGATGCAAAGACTAAGGCACAACTTGATGAATGGAAAGCAAAGAAGAAAGCTTCTAATGGGGTATGTTTTCTGTAGTGTTACCCTCTCTAGGCCAATTGTGCTGTTTCAGTGTAAATGCCTTTCTCATTATAAATGAATCTTATGTGGGGCTTCACAAGATCATCATCATAATAATACATGCTTATGGCTAAAATGCAGGAGGGTGTTTTATAGTTTGTAGTTATTTTAAGTCTTTTATCTACCCACAGTGGGTGGATGACTGTTGGTTTGCTTGTTCCAGGTTGGGATGAAGGTAGTAAGGGAGGCTGGACAAGGTTAACTTGCCAGAGAAAACACTGGTACAGACTATTCCAAACAGAGCTAATTCATTAAGGCAGCTTTGTAAGTAAGTACAAAATATATTTCAACCTACACAATTTTTATTAGTTGCCCTTTTTTAGAAGTACACAGGTTCTAAGATGAATGAAAATAAGTCTTACTACTTTCTGCAGTTGGATAGCTTTGTTCAGACTATATTAAGTTAAGCTAAAGTAAAGAAAATTTTGTGTGTTGTAACGTATATGTTAGTACCCCTTCCTAACAGAACAAAAAATACCTAAAACCTGAGATATTTTTCCTTGCTTTGCCTTCCTAGTTTCTTTTGGTGCCTCAAGTGGAACAGATCTATATTAGATTATTGCCTTCCACTGCCGACAAAAACAGGAATTACAAGAAAAGTAGCCTTTTCGCTCTCTAGTTCAGATTTTCCTTATCTTTCTTCAAAATAGAAATAGCTTTCTTTTTTTATTATAAAAAAATTGTACATTCTTTGTAAAAAATTCACAAAATAAACCCAAGTATGAAAAAGTAATTAAATACTATCTATAGTTGGTGCAGTGGTTAAGAGTTCAACTGCTAACCAAAAGGTTGGCAATTCAAATCCACCAGCGGCTCCTTGGAAACCCTCTGGGGCAGTTTCTACTCTGTCCTGTAGGGTCGCTATGAGTCAGAACCCACTCGATGGCAGTGGGTTTGATTTTTTGGTTTTGGTGTAATCCTATTACTGTAAGTAACTATTGTTGAACCAGTAGGTTGCATATTTTTCTGGACATTTTTCTCCAGATAAATACAGTTTTGATGGAAATATGTGAGTTTTTTTGTTTTTCTTTCAGAAAAACAGTATTGAATTCTAAGTACTATTTTGTAAACCATTTTGTTTTAACTTAATCTTGTCTTTCCTTGGACTTTTAATTATATTTTAACTGATTTTCCTGGGTTTCCTTTACTGTCATCTGACTATTAAGAGTAACTGCCTATATTTCTAAAACATAAGTATAAATTATGTCAACCTCTGCTCATGTACCTTTAATTTTGAATTTCTTAAAGAGTAAAATCCCAGTTCTTAGCATGGCATTTAAGACTGGCTCCAATCTACCTTTCTATTTCTGGCTTGCCCCTACCTTCCTCTCCATGTGCCTTGCTGATGTCTCATGTTTTTGTTGCCTTTCCAAACTCCCTGTTGAAACTCTATCCTTAGAATTGTAATTAAAATATCCCTTGTTTCATACCTTCATCGACCATACCCTTGGTCCTTCTCAGGCAGAACTAAATTCTCTATGTTCCTATATTAAGTAGGTTTTTACTGCTGTGTGTCAGTCTAGCTCTGTATCATATATGGTTTATATCTCATTCTTATATCCTCCCTCGACATTTTGTGCGTACAGGGTAGAAAGGGCAATAAATCCTTTTCGTCTTGTACCTCCCAGAGCACTTGGCACAGTATCTTGCCCATAGCAAAATGGAGTGAGCATTTATTGAAGAACATTTGCAGTTATACTGCTTGCCTCATAGTCTTGATTACTGCTTACATAGTTTTATAAGTAAATAATGATAAACAATTCTCTAAACTGTAAATTATATCTGAAATCAGAAGTGTTGCCTGTCACATCACTAAAAACTTAAACTGCAACAAGAATTTTCAGATTTTCCTTGCTGCGTTAATTGAATTATTATTTAAAATAAAGCATACATTCAATGTCTTCAAAGTTTTTCGTCTAATTTCCCTTGGACTCACTGTTTTACTATGTTTAATCATTAGCTTGTGGGGTGGTTTAATTTGTAGCATTTGTAAATGGTGTCCTAAGATCTCTGAACATGAAGTAAATCACTTTATTATGTATTTATATAAACAAAGAAATGTACAGTTTTGTGATTTTGGATTTCATTTGTAATCACCATGAGCCAGAAGAACCACATTTTAAATCTGCTTCTTTCTTCCAAGAATGGAATTAAATCTCAACAACAACAAAAAATAAATTATAAAGTTAAAAGAAAAGAATGAAATTAAAGCCATCGCCAGTAAAAATATATAGAACAGTTATTTCAGATAAAATGGAATTAAAACAAATAAACAGGCATCACTTTTATTTTTCCAGTTATATGTGTACCTCTGGATGTACTTGGCATGGTGCCCAGAGTTACTTGAAGTCACAGGACAGACAGTGTATTTTCCTAGAGTGTCAGTTGTACTCAACGATATGGGTTAAAGGAAAAAGGTTGAGCAGTTCTATTTTGTATAAATTTATTTTCTTCAATAACTTAGCATATATAATTACAGTCGTTTGTCACTTAACGTCCACAATATATCCTGTGAAATATAGGATGTTAGGAGATTTGGACTTCGTGTGAACACCGTATTATATACAGGTAGTCCCCGGGTTATGGGCACAGGGAGGGGGGTGCACAGAGAGTTGGCCATGGGGACCAGGTGGGGAGCAGGTGTGCGGGTGCTGGGAGTGCATGGCTGGCAGTGGCAGCCCTGGCTGCTGCCTGTGGCTGCTTCCTGATCGTATGTGGCAGCCACCGGAATCCCGCAAGTGCCCCAGGCCCTATGGTAGGAGCAGAGGAACTGCGGCAGGTGCTGCCCTGTGCCAGAAGCGAATGGCTGCACGGCTGCTGGGTGGGTGACTGAAGCCAGAAAGAGGGGAAGGAAGAGATGGAGGCGGAGGAGGAGGAGGAGGCACTGCGGGGATTGGAATGGACCCTGGAGGCCCCATTGCTCATTCACTCTGGGGATTTGGGGTCTTTTAAAACCATTAGAGGGAAATAAACAAAAGGAGAGCCGCTTTCCCTTGATAAAAATAAAAACCTTACGGTAGCACAGACATATATGCAGCCCAAACGGATGTTATGGCAGTGCATGACTGCATATTGTAGAGTGCAGATTTGCTGTGGTTTTTTAAGCTTAAGCATGAGAAGTTGAAGGTGCTTGTTCTTTATTGTTAATTTCTTAGAGAAATTTAGAAAGCAATGATGTGGATAATAGAGTGAGACATTGAGAAACTGATATGAGTTACTTTTATTCAGGCATTTTCTTCTGATTCACAGGCAGAAAGAAAACACAATTAGTTGTATAGTTCTCATTGACTAAAAGAGAAATACAAGTTTGTCTAGAAAGAGTCCTTTTTTCTGACATAGAATTTCAAGAATTCTGTACCTTGTGTAAGATGCCTTGTCAAACAGTCTGGTTAAAATGTTGCAGCATTTGTAGTAGCAACTTTTTTTTGCCGTTTCTTTTTGTCCTTTAGTAAAACTATTTCACTTGAGGCAACCATGCCAATCTAGTCCATGTTTTACTGTTTTCTGGATGTCGTGCAGCAGCACTATAAGAATAGGTACATCTGCCGGATTGTCAGGAGTACTGGCTGTTAAGCATACATTCAGGAATGAAATCTGACAAGTGTTTCAAGTACAGATACTCTCTGGAAGAGAAACACGCACATTTAAGTTCTAATAGAGGACAGAGGCTCCCAGTAAAACACCTTCACGTGTTTGCCTGGAAATTAGTCTGATGGAGTTTTCTGAAAAAAACTCTGGATTTGCTTAAAAAGTTAGTTCTCAAGGAGATTCTTTTTCTGGACTGTAGAAGTCAGTGCCAAAGAGTGAGCCCAGTGGAGCTATTTTATGATATTGCAGGTAGTAGCTTTACTGTTGACAGCCATAGCTTGGTTCTTTTAATTCCTCTGAAGAGAGACAAATAATCAGGCCAGATATTCAGTTGATTATTGTGAATCTCTTATAATAATGCTAAACCTTTTTGCCCACTAGTATTGAATGGGTTTCCTGATTTCTGAAGTGGAAGAAGAAGCTGGAAATCTGGAAGTAGTTTATGACTGAGAAACCAGAGGTAGAGCTTTAGATGAAACTTGCCAGTCTGTGGAATGTCTTTCTAACGAACAGTAACTTCTCTTTTTATGATATGATTATTTTTCTGTTTTTCTTAAATCCACAATCAGTTAAGAAATTTGGTCTTAATAAAGTTTCCTTCTAAAATTGTACATTCTCTCTGTAGATCTAGAGGCAGTCATTTGCTAAGTAGTGTAAGTTAGTTCATTACATATTTATTTCTAAGTTAGTTAAAACTGGCGAATATTTTAATTTTGACTTAGGGTGGAATTGATAGGGAATTTAATGGCTATGAGTTATGTGAGTAGGACTCTGGATTTATAGCCCCATTTCTATCCCTGTTCTTAGAAAAGCAATGAGATATGGAGGGCTCATGGGAAGGAATTCAAGATGTAGGGAAAATGCCAGTGACAGACTGGTACTTCCTACAAAGTTTATAATCATAGTACAGAATTTAGGTGTCAACACCTTAGTGTTTTCGTGTTGAAATAATGTGCCTCCTGTGTGTATCAGAGGATCTAATGTCTCAGTGCCAAGTTTCTGGAGGGTTAATTTTTTCATTTAAACCTTGGATAGAAGCAGTGTATCACTGAAGGGGTTTTTGAGAGATTAGCGTAAATTAAAGACTTGATTGTAATACATTATTGACTTAAAATAAGAAAGGAATACATCACCACAGTTACAGTTTGTTATATTTTTGGTTAATAGTTTTAATAATTTCATTATAGTTCTTGGGTAAAATATCTCAAAAGATGTCAAGTAGAAAGTTGGCTATAAGAAGATTGGATTGAGAGGCAGGTGTGAGAAAGTAAACTCTTGTTTATAGTGATTAGTTGCATAACAGGATGTGATGCCTTATATTTAAGTTATCCATGTCATAACCCCTCTCTTAACTTGTATTTTTAGATGCTTGAGGGCAAGGTTATCTCTTTTTTCAATTTTGAATTTTACACCACCTAGCAGAGTCTTGCAGACAGTAGGCACGTAATAAGAATTTGTTGAGCAAATTAAGAAAAAAATTCTCGTTGAATAGGTATCCTTTGGAGAGAGCATTCATAATGCTGGTGGTAGAGTTATGAAATCACTGCTGGTTTATATTGTTAAGCAGTTACAAGGTGTGAAATTCACCTTGAATAGAGTTTCCGTATTTTGACTAAGAACCAGGCATTTGTGCGTAAGTGCGTGGTTCTTGTTTGTGAAAATATTCACAGTATGTTTACTGAGTAAATATTTTGGGGTATGCTTGTATATTTAGTTTCAAATTACAAAGATAAAAGTGACTTTTGTCTGTTGTTTTGTTTGTTGCTTCTTTGTCAGGTATTTTTCCCTTTCCGCGTTTTGTCAGTAGTTGATAGTAACTGTAAATTATCAAAAGTTTTGAAGTCATACTCTATATACTGTTTGTAGTTTCAGCTGCACTGATTCCTTAATCAGGGAGTTTAAAATAGTTTAAAATTAAGAGAGAAACAAGTAGCACATTAGAACCTGGTAATTTCTTTTTCACAGAGACATAGAGTTAACAGTCTAGACTTTTCTTAAAAAATTGTTAATAAAGTCCTACAAATATTCAGTTACTTATTTGTGAGACCATTACAGCATGAATTTTTTAAAAAAATTTTTTTGCTACGTTAATATTTTCAGGTCATGGAGAGGAAGACGTGTAGTATTTAAGAGTTTATTTTTTTTATATGAATATCTAGTTTTTTTTAAGTAGTATTTTCATATTATAAAAATTGTATAAAATGGGGGAGAGGGGAGAAGCATGATTTCAGCCCCTAACCTACCTGATGCTTGCATTTTTGTGTATATAGCTGTCTAGTGCTTTCTTGTTTATTTACCCTACACATGCTTTTGTTTGTTTTACATGGTGGCTATTGTAGGGTACATAAAATTATATTTTCGTTTTTTCGCAAAACTAAATTGACAGAGTGTTTGATATTGTAGCAATTAGTTATTTAGTAAATATTGTTAAATTGTACAACTATTGGCCAAGACAATCTGAAAATGATAGTCCTGCCATTTAATGTTTTTTAGCTGGTTAGGAGCCAGAATTATAGTTATCAAGGGAGAAAAGGAAAAGAAAATGATAAAGTACCAGTGTCTCAGGAGAAAACTAAATAGAACAAATGAAACTTAGTTTTGTGAAGTTAAGAACAAAGCCAACTCTGTATTTAATTGGACTATGGAGATGCTTTAGAGAACACATTGTTTTTCCTTTTTGTTTGTTTGCCAACTCTTGTATTAGAATGATTTTCATTTTTTTGTTTGATTTTTTTTTTTCCCCCTCTCTCGAATTTGCCTTGTTGTTTAAGAATGCCAGGCCAGAGACTGTCACTAACGATGATGAAGAATCCTTAGATGAAGAAACAAAGAGACGAGATCAGATGATTAAAGGGGCCATTGAAGTTTTAATACGTGAATACTCCAGCGAGCTCAATGCCCCCTCACAGGAATCTGACTCTCACCCTAGGAAGAAGAAGAAAGAAAAGAAGGAGGACGTATGTGTTACTGATTTCTGACAAAGCAGTCATTTCTACAGTTTATTTTTTACGGTGTCACTCTCGTGCTTTGATTGCATTTCAACTTTTTGAAGGGAAAACAGAATAACTAGTATTTGTAACAATACACTGTTAAGCCTAATTTGATTGTGCTTTACCAACTAGCTTATCCTCATCATTTTGACCAAAATATTTCTGTTCTATATGGTGGAAATGCACTGGCATGGATTTAAATTCAGTAAAAAAAACTTGAGTGACAAAGTTGAAACTGATATTAAGGGATAAAGGAAGATTAAAAAAATATTGGGGTGGAGGTCATGAAGGGAATGTCCCTGTTTTGCCTTACCCCTTAATTGTGGTTTATCCCCTAATTATGGTTGTTCTGTCTCTGTTACAAGCATGTCTCTGCACAGAGGATTTCACATGTTCTTTAATTGTCAGAAGTCTTTCTTTTATAAGCCACGTCTTAGTCCTCTCCGCGTATAATGTTGTTGAACATCTGACTGGAGGACTATGAAGGAGGAGTGCATGATGAAACATTCCTCCCCAGTGTACTCCCTACTTTGTCAGCCTAAGCTGTTTGAACAGTAGGGAGTCCAAGTTGAAAGGAAACGTTTTTGTTCTCTCATAGTCATTTCTTTGGATAAACTTAGGAAAATTACAGGAAGTGTTCTTTAAAAATATTAGGAACATTTTATATTCGTGGTTGTATATACTATGAGAAAGTGCTATAAAACATTGTGATTGTCTAGGGATATCTATGATTTATATTATTATTTTTATTTTAGTGCCTTATTAGGGAATCTTCAGTTTTCTTTGCAGCCAAATTACTTGCGGTTACTTGGCTCAGTTCTTCCTAATGGTCATAAAAACCCATTTAGTGAAGTTCCAATCTACTTGAAATAAATTTAGCCTATTTGGAATCTGTTGGAAAGTGCTAATGTGTTGGGGTATGTAGTCAGTCAGGTATAGGGTAATTGAGGCCTCTAAGGCTGGCCTGTTAAGTTAATGGAGAAAGAGAAAAATAAACATTGGTTTCATATGCGTTGGGAGGAGGATATGAAAGAAATCCTAACCTATGGTAGGAATTATGGGTGACTTTTGTTGGTATGATTGTTTCCTATATCCTGGAGAGGATCAAGGAAAACGCCCTGTTCTCGTGTATTGTTCACTATCGAGTTGGCCCCCTGCTCGTGGCAATCCCATGCAAAATGGAATGAGACATTTCTCAGTCCTCTGCCATCGCCATGATCAGTTGCAGATTGGACCATTGTGATCCATAGCTTTACCTTGGCTGATTTTTAGGAAGTAGTTCACAAGGCCTTTCTTCCTAGCCCTAGTGTATTAGACCCTCCTTATTCCATTGTTTGGGGGTGTCGGAGGGAGAGGAGGTGGTGGGTAATATGAGGGGCTGTAAAGAGTGAGTGAAATTTTTTTTTACTGTCGAGAAAATTTCACAGAAATACTGTATTGCTTAAAGTATAAACGTACAGAGCATTGTTTTGTAGTGTGAACTCTTTTTTAAAACAATCTTTGTGGATTTTTCCGCAGATTTTCCGCAGATTTCCAGTGGCCCCGCTGATCCCTTATCCACTCATCACTAAGGTTAGTTTACATTGTAGGCTTTGACACTAACTCTGCTTACTGCTGATTGCTGTATTTGTGATTCTTGTCCATCTCATCTTTTTTTTTTAATTGTACTTTAAGTGAAAGTTTACAATTCAAGTTAGTGTCTCAAACAAAAATGTATGCATAATGTGACCCTAATTGCTCTCCCTATACTGTGACAGCACACTCCTCTTTTCCACCTTGGATTTCCCATGTCCATTCAACCAGCACCTGTCCCTTTTTGCCTTCTCACCTCGCCTCCGGACAGGAGCTGTCCATTTAGTCTCATGTATCTACTTGAGCTAACAAGCACACTCTTCGCGAGTATCATTTCATGTCCCGTAGTTGAGTCTAATCTTTGTCTGAAGAGTTGGCCTCGGGAATGGGTTTAGTGTTGAGTTGACACAGAGCCCGGGGCCATGCTTTCTGGGGTTCCTCCAGTCTCAGTCAGACCATTATTAAGGCTGGTCTTTTTACTAGAATTTGAGTTCTGTACCCTACTTTCCTCCTATTCCGTCAGGGACACTCTGTTGTGTTCCGTCAGGGTTGTCATTGGCGGTAGCTGGACACCATCTAGTTCTTCTGGTCTCAGGCTGCTGCAGTCTCCAGTTTATGTGGCCCTTTCTGTCTCTTGGGCTAATACTTTCCTTGTGTCTTTGCTGTTCTTCATTCTCCTTTGCTCCAGGTGGGTTGGGACCAATTGATGCATCTTAGATGGCCGCTTGCTAGCTTTTAAGACCCCAGATGCCACTCACCAAAGTAGAATGCAGATCTTTTTCTTAATAAACTTTGTTATGCCAGTTGACCTGGATGTTCCCTGAAAGCATGGTCCCCAGACCCCCATCCCTGCTACTCTGTACCTCGAAGTGTTTGGTTGTATTCAGGAAACTTCTTAACTTTGGTTTAGTCCAGTTGTCCATCTGATCTTTCACTGTTTAACTTCAGATTGTTAGGTTTGTTACTGTAGAATGTCTTTATTTACCATATTTTTTTAAGACTTGTACAAAACAAAAACTTTTATCTCTTTGTATGGTTGCATACTGATTTTTATGCATTTTCTCCTTCCCATTTGTGTTTTAGGAGGATATAAATGCTATAGAAATGGAAGAAGACAAAAGAGACCTGATATCCCGAGAGATCAGCAAATTCAGAGACACACACAAGGTAGTATTCTTATTTTTTCACTTGTTACCAAACTAGACTTTTTACAGAATCCAAAGCAAACAGACAAAAAGAAAATCAACCTTACAGTAGAATTAATTTTAAATGATTTTTGTAGGTTTAATTGATAATTAGATAGAAACCAAGAAACAGAAGACTATACCATATTAAAGAGGTCCTTGACATAGTGTGCTTAGGTTTTTTTTCAGTTACTGATTGCTCTGCAGTCATCTCACTTTAATGTGAATGAAAGAGTTTTTTTTTTTTTTTTTTTTTTTTTTAAAGATTTCAACATAAACATCAAGGTCAGGTTTAAACTAGATTTAGGGGGGCAGCAGGAGGACGTACACAGTAGTATATTTCTGGGGGCAGTTTAACTTAGGAAAACCTTTTCTGTAGAGCTGAAATAAAAATTTAAGATTATATTTGTATAGATTTAAGTTGAGAGGGGGAAGTTTTAAAAAGTAGGTCAGTGGTTACCAGACTTACCAAATTTTAGATGCATGGAAGAACTGTAAATTCCCATAAAGCTAATCTATTCATTGACCCCCACCATTATGATAGAGATCATATGGTGACTAATGCAAGATGAAACTCTCAGCTTGGAAGGTAACAAGGAATAGGATGTAAGTATGAGCTTCTGTTTTTTATTATATTTATGGATGCCCCCTCAGAAAAATATGCAAAGGGGTAACTGGCTTGGAAATGGAGTATTTGTGCATAGTAAATCCCACTCACGAGTTTTGCCTATGAAAGCTTCTCTTATTGACAGTGCATCTGTGAATGTTCGCTGGTGTGGAAGGTAATGCTTATGGACGGTGAAATGCAAAAACTGCATGAAATAGTTTGTTATTAGAGGTAATAAGATGTTACTGGTTCTTATTCATAGACTGAGCGCGGCCTTTGACTCAGAAATGTTAAGTGTTCACCTTTTCTTTTCAGTCTTACGCTTTCAAAATCCCAAGTTGACAATTAATGATAATTAATTAATCCTGCTGAACAATTATTATCCAGATACGCAACCCTAGCTCACATACAGAGTGTTTTTTCCAGAACTGAATGTGTCTCAAAGCACAAATGTTACTCTCCCAAAATTAATTTTGAGAGTTAAAAACGGTAGTCTGTGGGAAGTCAGTTTTGGTGAATACTTTTGGTTAGGTTTAATATTCAAAATCAGGATCTGAGTAAGCTTGAAAAGAGTATACAGTTGTGTGTGTGGTTTACCCCCTTTTGTTGTTATTTATTTGTTATGTCATGTCATTGGTAAATGATGAGAAAATCATGTTCTAAAAAAATAATTCAAAAGATGTTTGCTTCACAGTTTGAGAAGCTGTCAGGCATTTGCCTTTCATGGGGGGAATGTTTTGAATTTCCAAAATGTCCTTTAAAAATTAAAAACAAAATTCGCAGTTTTTTTTTAGTGGGGTGGTATGGTTAAAGGGGATATTTGGAACTCCAGTAACAAAAAATGAGCTCAGTGAACCTTTGCATGTTTTGGAATGAGTTTATTAAATAACCACGGACTGTCAGGGTATCAGCGTGGCAGGGGGCGTCCATTTACAGCACGGACGAGTCTGAAGAGAGAACGAGGTAAGATTTATGATTTTTTAATCTGTCCTTTTTTCTTCATCACTTCATAGTTTTCTTACACCTTTCTGTAGTTGCCCCATTTCATTTTTCTTCAGGTTTTTTTGGTCATAAATACATATTTGTATATATACCCATATGTGCTATATATGTAACTTTTTAGAAAAGCAGTTAGTACAGACTAGATTCATTCATTTTTTCATTTACTTAGAACAAAACTTTTGAAATGAATCCTGAAACAAATTATTAATCATATAAGTAAAATTATACACTTAAGAATAAGCAAGAATAAAAGACTCAGGAATTCTACAAATTATTATTGGAACAGCTAAAATCTGTAAGTATCTGTTATCTCAGAAATAAATAAATTTCTTTGTAAGTGTATGACATTGAGGTAAGTTTTATATAGTCTAGCCTCATTTAATAGTACAAATTTTTATGTTACTAGAACTGTTTCAGAAATGAGGTTTTGCCCTTATAATTTTCAGTTTCTGTCCTGTTTCTATCATTTCTTTTCTCTTCCCTTTGTAATTTCAATGTATTCAGTATTCGCTTTGCCTGCAGTGTACTTTGATATTGACTGGTAGAGCAGCTGAATATATTGATCTCTCATGCGTTAGCTTTTCTTTCATAATCCTCTGTCAGTCCTCTGATCCATGAGCAAGAGAAAAAGTATCTTTAACAGGTAAGATTACTTTTTAAAGTTGTTTTAAATGCCTTACATAACTGAGAAAAGAAAAAAAATGCACATTTTATTGTTGCAGTTTAAATTTCAGTGACACTAAACATGGAACCAAAGGGATAAATGTGTTTTGTTTTTCCTGTTTGGGGTATTTTTTTTGTGAGTTTGTGTAGAAACCGTGTGGTACACTGGTAATCTTGTCAGGGTACAAACTTGGTCTGACTTTGTTATTTGGTTTATTTGTGAACCATGTACTTGCTCTTCCTCCCAGAAACATAGCTTGTAGGCAAGGTTAATCCAGTGTTGGCGATCCATGTCCTAGCACAACATCTGTAAGTTAATACACAATCGTTGCTTCCAAGGATGGATTTATCATTGTTGATGTATTTTTTATTGTCTTATAGGCATAATGGGCATAAATGTGTTGCTTTTAAAACTAAGTTAAATGAAAATATTAAAATTTGTACATTTCTGCTTGAAGTGATTTTTAAACTTTTTGTATTTGGTGGGCTGTCCCTCTTGTAATGGTGAGATAAATGTTTCCATAGAAAATACGGCAGATCTTGGCTGAATTCAGCTCGTCTTCCTTTTGGAGGGTGGGAGAAGCAAATGGCAGATTATTTTTGTTGCATTGTAGTGACCTGACTCTATTCCCCAACCCCCTTGAAACTCTCTCAACTGGTAAACCTATATATAGGTAATGGGAAGTCTGGGGTTATAATGAGTATCGGTAGTCCCACTGATTGACAGAAATTGATAATGGCCAGAATTAAGTTTTAATTAAGTCCTGAGTGGATGATTATATTTCTAAAAGTTAATGTGAACCACCACATTTCCCATGATCATTTTAGTTATTGCATAGCCATTGTGTGGCCAGCCACACTTGACACAATCTCCCAGCATCCAAGATTGGAGATTCCTGTCTGTAGAGAACATGGTTTGCCTGAAATCTGTCTGATCTTGTGATTGCTTCAGTTTGATTTGTCAAGTTGAAAACCACAAGTATTTAGTATTAAAATACCAGTAGTTTGGTGTTTTTGTTCCCAATATTGGGCAGTGCGCCGGGAGTAATCTGAATACTGGAGCTACAGAGTTAACTCTAAAAGTGCTTTTATTGGTTTCTAGAAACTGGAAGAAGAGAAAGGCAAAAAGGAGAAAGAAAGACAGGAAATTGAGAAAGAACGGAGAGAAAGAGAGAGGGAGCGTGAAAGGGAACGAGAAAGGCGAGAACGGGAACGAGAAAGGGAAAGAGAACGTGAACGAGAAAAGGAGAAGGAACGGGAGCGGGAACGAGAACGGGATAGGGATCGTGACCGGACAAAAGAGAGAGATCGAGATCGGGATCGAGAGAGAGATCGTGACCGAGACCGAGAAAGGAGCTCAGATCGAAATAAGGATCGGAGTCGATCAAGGTAAGACTTTTAAAAAGTTGCCATTTCCTGATACCTTTAATAGAACCAAAGGTTGAGAATTTTCTTAGCCTTGGTGCTGCCTTTCTTACACACACACACACACAGCACTGGTTAAAATAACATTTTCTAACTTTATGGTTAGCGCACACCAAGTGTCCACCCAGTGTTTTGGGCAAAGACTTGATTCCTTGTTGTCTCCCCGGGTTGATGGGCATTTTTCCTAGTCACCATTTCGTTGAGGTCCTATATACTGGGAAATCAGTTCTAGCACCACCACTTTTAGCCCCGTATGTCTTTATTTGGTCCTATAGCCCACTGGACTACCATAGCTTACTTCCTTCGCTCTAAATTTACTCTCTCTCAGTCCTAGAAATTTCATGTTTTTTTCTTTTTCAAGCTAATTTTAATTATATTTCTTTGTTAAAGCTTTCTGTCTGATTGTAGCTTTAGGTCAGTCTACCGTGTTCCTGGAATTGGAAGTTTTTAATCTTTAGTGGTCATTGAAATCCTTCCGTTCTTTCTCCCCTGATACAACCATTGTTGAGAATTCGATCTGTATAAAATCATGTTTTTGTATTTTTGCTACATATATGTATCCATAAACAATATATTTTTTCATATATATGCATTTACATAGGTTGATGTCATCGTACTGTATGTATTCTGCAATTTGGTTTTATCAGTCTGAATCAAATTTTTGAGAACTTGCAATGCTAATACATATTCCCTTTGCCACTGAGTCAATTCTGACTCATAACGACCCTACAGGACAGAGTAGAACTTACTGTGGGGTTTCCAAGGAGCATCTAGTGGATTCGAACTGCTGACCTTTTGGTTAGCAGCCATAGCTCTTAACCACTATGCCACCAGGGTTTCCACTGCACCACCAGGCCTCCATAATTCATATAGGTCTATTTTATTCATACAACTTGGTTTTTAGTGGTTGCAGAGCATTTCATCATACTCCTGTACCAAAATATATGTTGCCGGTTTTGTGTTCTTTTCTCATCATGTAGGTTCTAGTTATAATCTAGTTCTTTGTGTTTTTTCAAGTTAGCAGGTACTTTTTTTTATCACCTCTCAATTACCATCTTTGAAATTCCATTATAAAATTAGTGGCTAAACTGCTAAATACAAGACTTAATTTAAGCTAAACTCACAAACTACCCAATTTCTCACTCCAGTTAACAAACAAAACTTACAGATGTATCTAGGAATTTAGAAACGGAAAGGATTCAAGAGCCTTCTCAAAGTATTTATTTTATTTTGTTTGTTAATTCATTAAGAGTTGAGTCATCTACTCTTGCTCACCTCCTGCCCTTATGAACTAGGAATGTGTTTGCTACAACTCTTTATTTTCCTGCAGTTTGTTTCACATAGCTTGGTTTTTATTATAACCTTTAATCTCAGTTAGAATATTATATGTGTGCTGTTCCTTTAATACCTTATTTCTACCGTATTATATATCCAGTTCATTTATCATCATTAGTGATAAATGATATGAGGCTCTATTATTATAGGTTCATATAAAAACCGCTTTGTGAGTTTTCATAGTCTTCACAGCATGGAAAAAGTGGGGCAAGATTATCATCTTTTACAGATGAGGAAAGTGAAATGAAGAGATAGCTTGCCTATGTTTTCATTGTAAGGTGGTTGTTACGAGCCTGGTGGCACAGTCATTAAGCGCTTGGCTGCTATCCGAAAGGTCAGCAGTTCGAGCCCACCAGCCGTTTTGCGGGAGAAAGATGGCTATCCACTTTTGTAAAGATTTACAGCTTTAGAAACCCTGTGGGGCAATCTATTAAGTATTGATACCTATTGTGCCATCATTCCCTGAATTAGGAAGAGACATGATTTAAGCCTGGTGGCATAGTGGTTAAGAGGTACAGCTGTTAGCCAAAAGGTCAGTGGTTCAAATCCACAAGGCGCTCCTTGGAAGCCCTATGGGGCAGTTCTACTCTGTTCTATAGGGTGGCTATGAGTCAAAATTGACTCGACAGCAGTGGGTTTGGTTTTTTTTAAAAAGGGCTTATACTTTGATTCACTTTTAACCAAATAAATTTTCTTTAACTTTCTTTAATTCTAAAACATAATTATTGTGTAAACTTAGAAGTTACAGATTAAAAAAGAAAATAAAAATTGCCCATTAGGCCATCACCCAAAGATACTGTTTTTTCTTTATACAGTCTCATTATAGACTTCCTTAAGTATATTCTTCTTTTTTACACAAAGTGGAGTCATATAGTTCTATTTTTTACTCTTTAAAACAACTTTTCTCTCTCATGATCTGAGGCTAGCTGTATATAATGGTTTGTATGTGATTTCAAATCTTTTTTAGTACATGTACGGGAATGGTATCATAATTTACTTAGCTGTTAAACTCTTTTTTTTTTTTTTAATTTTTTAATAATGTGTTTTTGGTGAAGGTTTACACAGCAAATTAGGTTTCCATTTAACAGTTCCTACACAAATTGTTCAAGTGACACTGGCTACGTTTTTTCAGTGTGTCAGCATTTTCATTATTTCCCTTCTGATTGTTCTGTTTCCAGTAATCTAGTTTTCCTGCCCCCTTAACTTCTCATCTTTACTTTAGAGTACTTGTTGACTGTTTTGTCTCATATAGATGATCTTTTTAAAGAAGCACAGTACTCATGGGTAATATTTTTTATTTTATGAACTAATCTGTTATTTATCTAAAAGGTGACCTCAAGGGGTAGTTTAGGTTTAAAGTGTATCTGAGGGCGATAGTCTTGGGGAGTACTTCAGTCTCAGCTGGTCCAGTAAGTCTGAATTTTTTAAGAATTTGAGTTCTTTTCTACATTTTTTTCTTCCATTCTATGAGGATCCATGTATTGTGGCCCTGATCAGAATGGTTGGTAGTGATAGCCAACCACCATCTAGTTCATTTGATCTCAGGGTAGATGAGGCCGTGTTTTGTGTAGATTATTAGCCCTGTAGACTAGTTTCTTCTCTGAGTTTTTGCTTTTCTTCTTTCTCTTTTGCTCTGGACCAGTAAAGACCAATATTTGTATCTAGATGGCCACTCTCAAGCTTGTAGGAGTCCAGACACTACTCACCAAACTAGGACGTAGAGCGTAAACTTCATGAACTATATTATACCAGTTGACCGAGTTGTCCCATGAGACTGTGGTGCTAAACCTTCAAGCTCAGAAAACCAGTCCCATGGGGTGTTTTGTTATGTCTAAGAAGTATCCGTAACCGCCCATCCATGTGCTTTATTATATATATGAATATATATGCACGCACATACATACACGTATGTATGTATAGATACATCTGTATATGTACACATATGTGTGTAACTATATACACATATGCATACATACATATATAACCACACACATTTTTTGATTGTTTCAAAATTATATGTCAAAGCATTTACATCCTTTTTTCATGTGTACTTCTTAGTGACATCTCTTACCTTGGTCAGGCTATGCGTACTTCACCCATATTCAGTGTCAGCTGTCTAGACACCAAGTGTCTACTGTCTAGAGACTAATTCTCTCTCTCCTCCCCACCCATCCCTAGTAACCACCAATGAACTTTGGTTTCTGTATGTATACCTATTCTTGTCTTTTTATAAAAATGAGATCATACAATATTTATCCTTTTATGATTGGCTTATTTCACTCAGCATAATGTCCTCCAGATTCATCCACGTAATAAGATGTTTGGAGAACTCATCGTTATTCTTTATGGCTGTGTAGTATTCCATTGTATGTATATACCACCTTTTGTTTATGCATTTGTCCGTTGATAGGCACTTAGGTTGTTTTCATCTTTTTGCTGTTGTGAATAGTGCTGCAGTGAACATAGGTGTACATATGTCTGTTTGTGTCTCTTCTATTTGATTTCTAGGGTATATACTCTTAAGAGTGGGATTGTTGGATCATAAGGTTCTAATTTTAGATTTTTGAGGAAGCACCATACTGTTTTTCCGTAGTGGTTATACCATTTTACAATCTTAGTAGCAGTGGATAAGGGTTCCAGTATCCTCACAGCCTTGCCAGCATTTGTTGTTGTTTTGTTTTCTTCTTATGAGTACCATTTTAGCAGCTGTAAGATGATATTTCATTGTAGTTTTGATTCACATCTCTCTAATGGCTGAGTGCGAGTATGTTTCTTGGCCGCTTGATTGTATTCTTTGGTAAAGTGTTCTGTCCTTTACCCATTTTTTTAATTGGGTTGTTTGGTTTTTTGTTGTTGAGTTGTTGAAGTTTTTGATATATTTTAGAGATTAGACCCTTATCGAATACATTGTTTCTGAGGATTTTTTTTCCCAGTCTTTAAGTTGTCTTTTTACTCTTTTGATAGTCTTTGATGAGCATAAGTATTTAATTTTTATGAGGTCCCAGTTGTCTCATTTGTCTTCTGATGTGCATGCATTTATAGTTACGTTTGATGATCTATTTTTTTTTAAAAAAATTAGGTTCCAGTCCCTGACAGAGCAGGAGAAAAGTGGGGTGCAGAACTCAAATTCTAGTAAAAGACCGGACTTAATGGTCTGACTGAGACTGACGGGACCCTGGAAGACATGCCCCGAGACTCTCCATTGGCCCAGAACTGAAACCATTCCCAAAGCCGACTCTTCAGACAAAGATTAGACTGGATTGTAGGACATAAAATGATACTCGTGAAGGGAGTGCTTCTTAGCTCAAGTAGATACGTGAGAGTAAATGGGCAGCTCCTGTCCGGAGGTGAGATGAGAAAGCCCAAAGGGACAGGAGCTGGTTTAATGGACACGGGAAACAAGGGGTGGAAAGGAGGAGTGTGCTGTCACGTTATGGGGAGAGCAGCTAGGGTCGCATAGCAATGTGTGTGTGGATTTTTGTATGAGAAGCTATTCCACTAGTCTGTGTGTCTATCATTGAACCAGTAGTAGACCATTGTGATTACTATAGCTGTGTAGTATGTTTTCAGATCACGGAGTGTGAGGCCTCCTGCTGTATTCTTATTCTTCAGTATTGCTTTGGCTATTCTGGGCCTCTTTCCTTTCCATATAAAGTTGGTGATAAGTTTTTTCCATTTCAGTGAAGAATATTGTTGGAATTTGGATCGGGACTACATTGTATCTATAGATTGCTTTTGGTAGTATTGATGTTTTCACAATATTAAGTTTTCCAATCCGTGAGGATGGAATGTCCTTCCTATTTTTGTAGGTCTCTTGTAGTAGAGTTTTATAGTTTTCATTGTATAAGTCTTTTCTGTTCCTGGTTAGGTTTATTGCTAGGTATTTTATCTTTTTGTGTGCTGTTGTAAATGGTATGTATATAGCTGTTACCATTGATGGACATTTAGATAGTCTCTAGTATATTTCTTTTATAAAATAATGATGTGATAAACTTTTGTTTTTGTCTTTAAGGATTGCTGCGTAGAAATAGATTAGCCAAGCCAGTGATTCATAATTTTTTTTTGCCTAAGTATTGCTGAAATACTCTTTGCTCTACACCTTTGCCAACGCCACATCCCTTGATGACTTTTAATGTGTTTATCAGCACTTTGTATTTCTTTTGGGAATTACCTGTTTGTATTTATTTTCCCTCTTGTATACCATTATGTGATTGTGTAGAATTCCAGTATATGATTCCATAATTAATCATTCTTCAGTCATTTTCCAGTCCTTTGTAATAACTTAATATTATCCATTTTTTTTTAATTGCTGTGAAAAATGCATATTCCATTTTTGTTTGTTTTCTGAGATACCGGTAAGCATTAACTTTGAATTTAGAATGCAATTCAGAATTTAGGACTGGGATTAATTGTATCTTCCTGATGATTCCAATTCTATAGAAATATGCTAGATTCTGGCTTGTGATTTTATATCTTATTTTATAATGTATGTTGTTCTCCTTTCTCATGATTTTTAAGGGAAAACAGAAAACAAACTGGCAGATATTTAATCTTTTGTTTACATAGAGAGAAGAGCAGAGACCGTGAAAGAGAACGGGAGCGGGAAAGAGAGAGAGAGCGGGAACGAGAAAGAGAACGGGAGCGAGAGAGAGAGCGAGAAAGGGAACGGGAGAGAGAAAGAGAAAAAGACAAGAAACGAGATCGAGAAGAGGATGAAGAAGATGCATATGAAAGGAGAAAACTTGAAAGAAAACTCCGAGAGAAAGAAGCTGCTTATCAAGAGGTAGATTGAGGAAATGCTTTTTTTCTTGCAGCTTCATACTTGGTAGATTGTCAAATTTTGCAGAGATCTTCAGGTAGTATTTTTAAAGCTTTGCCAAAAATTTTTTTTTTTTTTTTTTTTTTTAGCGCCTTAAGAATTGGGAAATCAGAGAAAGAAAGAAAACTCGGGAATATGAGAAAGAGGCTGAGCGAGAAGAAGAAAGAAGAAGAGAAATGGTAAGATTCTGGGTTTTTTTAAAAAAAGGTAATTCTTCAGGTAAAAATCAGATCAGATTTTGACTGTTAACTAAAAATAAAATTTCTAAGTTCCCAGTTCAATAATTTAATTTTTGCATATTTCAAACAACTGTGACCATTCCATTACACCAGAATCTTCTGTCCTCCTATTTTTCATGTTTTTGCTGCACATAAAATTATTTTTTTGTATGTAATTAAAATAAAACTATCATAGAGTGATGTATAAAATAAGAATATACAGAACATTCCTTGATTAAGAATCTGCAAAACTGCTGAAATTGAGGATGCTTTGGTAGTGTTCTGTGAATTGCAGTGCATTTGGATGGAGCAGATAGTGTACTGGGAAGAACTGCTTTTATAAATCAAAATTAGTGTCTCTGTATATAACATTTATGAACTATAGCTTTTCCTCATATTGCCATGTTACTCTTAACTACATGATAATTGTAAGAATGAATTTTGTCTTTTGCATTTATATTGTTGATTATAACAGTGAAGTGTTTGGCATAGGTTGTAATTAAGAAAAATGAGAAGAAAATTTATTTTATCATAGTATTTGCTTCAGTAGTATGTTCCATGTGTTCTGTCTTTGCCAGAATTTCATGAAAGTTTCTTTATCTCCAGTTTGGAGATTATTCTTCCAAAAACTTCACTGAAGTTAGGAATCTTCTTCAAATAGCTTTTGAACATGAGACATAGAGGGAATTTTTGTAAGTAACCAAAAGGAGGGTGCATGCAGCTATAGATAGATAGTATGGGTTTTCTGGATATTAGATCCTCTAACATCATAGAATTATTTAAAATAACTTTAACTTTTTTTGTTTTATAACTCATTTTAGGATTTCCTTTTCATTCCCAGATAGAAAATAGGAAAGAGAACAATGTAGCAAGAAGTGTAATTATTTGACAAACGTTTTACCATTGTGGAATAAACTTCTTGGAATCTGTTTCCATGAGCAAATCTGAAACCTGTCTTTCTAGTGAAAAATTCCCTATTAGTTTTTTGTTTTTTTTAATACTTGGGAGCTTTAAAAAAAATTCAGTTACATAAGTAGTTGTTTGCTTATAAAAATGTTCAAGCAACACAAGTACACTAAGTAAAATGTGGAAGTTTCTATCCCTTCAAGAGGAGAGTTTCTGTTTATCTGTTAGTATGTACATAATGGGCCTTTCTATGTGCTCATACTTTAATAATTGTTTTATTTAGATATTTCTAAGTATTGTCATTGCCATTCCACCTTACCTATATTTATTCGTTTGACAAATGCATGTTATATTGCAGACTTATGCTAGGTGCTGGACATCGGAGAATAATAGTTCTTACTTTTGAAAAAGTGGTCAGTATAGTCAGAGGAGATAAAGGTAGTTACTCCAAAGTGTATGTGTTTAAGGTACTCTGAAGGTTCACGGTATTTTGGGTGTGTAGAGAAAGAATGACTAATTCTGCTGGGGAAGGGATTGATCATGGATAGAATGTTAGGTTGGGGAAGTCTTTATAGAGAGGTGAGATTTGAACTGAGTGAAATTATTAAAATTTTACCATAGTGAGATACCTATCATAATCTGCTTTGTTCAGTTGTTAGATATAATATTTGTTGTAACTGAAATTCCAGTAGGAGTAAGAGATTCCTAATCTTTTGTGGTTTATTCTAGTGAGTTTAAAGTTTGGCAGGGATTACCTTCAGATTGATGCATGAATGTGTATAAAAACTACTTTTGTAGCATCATCTGCCTACAAAATAAAAAATTGAAGTATTTTTGTCTAGTTAACAAAGTCATTAAGATAACTTGCAGTTTTGTTTCCTGGTGTGCTCAGGTTTCATTAGATAATAATTACTGTACTTCAAACATTATAATCAGAGGTCATTTATTTTAGCATACTGTATGTGGTTTTCATTTTACAGATAAGTTGTGTAAGTCTTACACTGTTTTACAGGTAAAAGAGAAAAATATATATAATGTGGTTTGCACTTAATGTCTGAAGTATATGAGAATTATAAAGTTTAGATTGTATGGATAAGGAAAATCTATTCCCAAGAAAGGGGAATGGGGTAATCTCAATGATTTCTATGTTAATTTTGCACCTTTGTTGTTCATTTCCTCAAAGGCAAAAGAAGCTAAACGACTAAAAGAATTCTTAGAAGATTATGATGATGATAGAGATGATCCCAAGTATTACAGGTAAAGAAGCCTTGCTTTATAAGAGTACTTATACTTTCAGGTTTTTATTTGTATTTTTTCTTGTCATCCTGAGCGTTCAGGTTCACTAGGTGGTAAAAGAAAGAAATCTTCACACTCTGTCTTGTAGCAAGCCCTATAGCTGACGATAGTAGTTTATGTAGTTGAATGCGCACATGCTGTTTTGTGGAGGAAATATAGCTATTGGAAAATGATCAGTAATTCTGTGCATGTTTTTAGGGGAATGCCCATGATAATAGTATAACCGGTTTTTTCCTTAATGTATTTTAAAATAGGTCTGATTTTTTATAACTCCTATTTATAGTTATCTAGAGTTGTCTGTAAATTTTTGACTTCAAGGATTTTAAGAGTGGTACATAGCGATCCACCCTACCCCCCCGCCAATTGATCCATTAATGTGAAGTGAGAGTTGAGAAGTCAGACTTCCCTCATCTCATTGTTCCAAGCCATTTCTAAACTACTTTTCATCCTGGCACTTACCATACTATGGCAGACTTGTCCTACCCGCCCCCGCCGCACCCCATCTGTAAGTTCCCTAAGAATGCGGACAATGTCTTGGCATCATTTTATTTCTAGTGTGTCTGACATGATGAAACTGTTTAATATATAATTGAATTTAATACATTACAGCCAAAAATAGTCAAAAGACTGAATTAGCAACTTAAATGGAAAGTGCCAAAGTATTTGACTTTAATGTAGAAAGTACCAAAAGAAAAAAGTTCAGTTAAATTATCGAAGGATAGAGTAAAATATGGCAGTGCTTAACTTAACGTTCCCAGACATAATAAAGTGCTAGCTAGCTAGACCAACAAATAGATATAACTTCCACTTTCTGTTCATTCTGCATTACTTCCTTCTGGGATTTTTACACAAGGGAAATAATTAAATTGAGGATACAGAATTATTCTTAGTGGTACTTATGCTACTTGTATTATTTTTTCACAGTTGGGCATCTAAGAAAAGACAAACTATGTGCTGGGGTTTCCAAATAAGAGCTGTCTTCTTGCTTCTGAAAGCTACATTTCTACTTGTTTTAGACACTTAATTTAGAATGATTTAAGAGCAAGGCATGGGAATAAATGAGGAGGCAATGCTTACTTATAAGCTAACATGTAAGAGCACACTGTTTTGGGTGTTCTGCGGACACAGAAGTCTGTAGTCTCTTAGCATACAGCTTTTAGCTTTGAAAAAAACTACTATTGGAGACATGTGGAATAGTCGATGATCTAGATATTAAATTAAGGCCTGTTATGATTTATTCTTTCAGGGGAAGTGCTCTTCAGAAAAGGTTACGTGATAGGGAAAAGGAAATGGAAGCAGATGAGCGTGATAGGAAGAGAGAGAAGGAAGAGCTGGAGGAAATTAGGCAGCGCCTCCTGGCAGAAGGACACCCAGACCCAGATGCAGAGCTCCAAAGGGTAAAATATTCTCAGATCTGTAACATTTGTTTTTAGAGGATTATCATGTCATCTTAAGCAAGCCAACCATGACATAGTTTATCACTGAGGAAAATACACTTTATGATGATCCCTGTATCTTGCGTGCTATTTTTTGAGAGAATATTACCCAAATCATCAATATTGATTGATTTAGAACTTTAATTATACTAAATATATTACTGATGTCTTACTGTTTTGTTTTCTGTGAAGTATTCCCTAAGATGAATAGAATTGTCTTTTATGAAACTTTGCTATAAAGCTTTCCTTCCAATAGTTTGCTTTGACACATAGGTCTTTCTGTTGTTTGAGTTCCATCTCAGTGCCAACTCATATATTTTGTTTCCCAAATAAAAATGCTTTCATGCATTTTTTTTGTCATTTAAAAGATAAAAAAATGATGTCATAGTACATGACAGTACCCTGTTCTTGCATTGAAGAATACAGTCTCATTTTAGAAAAGTTTTTAATAATCAGGAATCTAATAATATGAATTGTCCATACCACCTTTTTTTTTTTTTTTTTTTTCCAAGAAAAAACCTGTTACATACTTAAGATTAACAGAAACCATATTTTGTATGTCATTTTTACTTTTCAAAATGAAAGTATTATTTTTTTCTATTGATAAAATGCATACAGGCAGTCCCCAAGTTACGAACAAGATAAGTTCCTAACTGTGTTTTTAAGACTAAGTGAAGTTTGTAGGTAAGTCAAAACAGGTGCATATGGTTCTTACTTGGCCTTACTTTAGTGCAAGAAAGAGCTCGACACCTTTTCAGTGATTTAAAAGCTTCACGTGCAGCAAGTGAAGATGATTGTGATGAAGAGTTTGTTGAGAGTAGGGGTTGGTTGACTCGTTTCAAAGTGGGGCAAATTTATGTAATGTTAAAGGGCAAGTACGAGTTATCCATGAGTTGTAAGTCCGTCCTTCATAACCTGGGGGGGACTGCCTGTACTTACGTGAGTTAGTAAAATGTTCAGACAGCATAGAAAAGAATAATGATGAAACTAAAACCATCTTGAATTCTTATCAGCCACTTAGAAACACTGTAAATGCTGTGGTGAACAACCTTTTAAATGTCATACACAAGTGTACATACCTCTCCTTCAGATATAAGTTTTATAAGGTCAATTATAATTTACCTGCTCTTTTCTAACCTTTTATATCACTACTATCTTCTACCTAGAATTTGACCATTTTGTAGCCCTTATGTGATCTTTCTCTATATCTTCACTATCATGGCATTTTGCCGGTTTTTTTCATCTTTATCAGTATAAAATTTAGGTGTAGGTTTTTTTTGTTTGTTTTTTCGTTTGCTGACTACCAGCGGGTTAGAACAATTTATAGGTTGTCTAACAGGCTTTTTTTTTTTTTTTAATGAGCTGCTATTTAGTGGCGTTATGTTATGCAGAAATTTTAAATTTTTATGTAGTTGGATACTTCTGTAGTTTTCTATTGTTTCTTTTGTTTAATGCTCAGAGAGATTACTGCTCTATTCGCTCAATTTTTACTAATACATTTATAGTTGTTTCATTTTTTAATTATCTTCGATCATTTCAGGGAGAGGTGTTTGTTTAGGTGTATAGTCTTTTGACTCCCAATTCCCTTCCTTTCTCTTATTTTTCATTACCCTGTTGTTAATAAATACAAAAGTATTAGCAGCCTCAGCTAAGACCTACAGAGAACAAATGATAGCGTATGCCAAGTTGAGAATTTGAGTTACCTTTTCATGTATTGTCTGTATTGTTATGAAATAAAACTTTTGATTATACTTTTTAAATAAAATTAAAAATTACTTTATCCTTCTCAAATTCAGCAGACTACTGTGTATTTATCTTTGTTCCTCTGAAGAGCTAATATACATTAAAAAAATTTGGCATAGTACATGCTGTATTTTGTCACAAATAATGCATGCCTTCTGTGTTTGCCAACCATGTGCCTCCCCCCGTGAGGTATTTTCATAAGTGCCGTTATGCCAATTTTTTTTACATGTTGCTGTAAAAAATTGTAGCATAGCACGCTTATGAAAATACTTGGTGAGGGGAGGGCATGGTTGGCAAACAAACATAGAAGGAGTGCGTTATTTGTGTAAAAATACGGTCGTACCTACTTTTCTAATTTAAGAAGCAGTCAGTGCTTAGTTATTCCTGACCAAAAAGAAAAACAGATATTTTAGAAAAGAATATAAAGTAAAAAACAAGTTGAATAAAGTATTGTTGTAGTTTTTTGAAGTTACCACATTTTTGCAAATAATGATCCCACACACACATAACATACATAACAAGCCTAGGAAAATAATGCGTGAAGGGGGGTTGGCAAAAACTTATAATGTGTATGCTGTTTGTGTAAAAATATGGTAATCTAATTGTTTTTTGGTTATAGATGGAACAAGAGGCTGAGAGGCGCAGGCAGCCACAAATAAAGCAAGAACCAGAATCCGAGGAAGAGGAAGAAGAAAAGCAAGAAAAAGAAGAAAAACGAGAAGAACCCGTTGAAGAGGAAGAAGAACCGGAGCAAAAGCCCTGTCTCAAACCGACTCTGAGACCCATCAGCTCTGCCCCATCTGTTTCCTCTGCCAGTGGCAATGCAACCCCCAACACTCCTGGGGATGAGTCTCCCTGTGGTATTATTATTCCTCATGAAAATTCACCTGATCAACAACAACCTGAAGAACATAGGCCAAAAATAGGACTTAGTCTTAAACTGGGTATGTTATCATTTCCTTCTTTCCTTCCTTTCTTACTTTTTTCCTGAAAATACCTAAATTTTGCCTTACGGAAAAAAATAAATATGTGGTACTTGGTAGGTAGCTAGGAAAATACTCAAAAATGCATTTCTAGCTCACGATTGTTTTCATAGTCCTACTAGCGCTCCTATATCTGCAGCTGCCTCGAGTTCTGAGAAGAAATGAAAAGTTAAATTTTCTAGCACTTGTGAGTAGTGAGTTACTTTTTATAGTTGGGCTCTTTCTCTGAGACTTATGAAAGTATTATTTTTGTATTGTTTTTGAGGGATGGTGGGTTATAAAATATAATATTTGAAAATTAAGTCATCATGCTAAGATAATATTTTTACTATAGGTGCTTCCAATAGTCCTGGTCAACCTAATTCTGTGAAGAGAAAGAAACTTCCTGTAGATAGTGTCTTTAACAAATTTGAGGATGAAGACAGCGATGACGTACCCCGAAAAAGGAAACTGGTTCCCTTGGATTATGGCGAAGATGATAAAAATGCTGCCAAAGGCACCGTAAACACTGAAGAAAAGCGCAAGCACATTAAGAGTCTCATTGAGAAAATTCCTACAGCCAAACCTGAGCTCTTTGCTTATCCCCTTGATTGGTCTATTGTGGATTCTGTGAGTAGCTGTGCTATTGGCAATGTCTTCGAATGTGAATACAAACTCATTTGATTCTGTTAATGACAAGGATGATAGTGTGGTTGGAATCTTGACACCAAGTAAATGCCATGGGCAAGGAAGTTAGATTACTGGAAAAGTCTTGGTAGTACTTGTGCTGCCTTGAAGCCAGACCCTTAAACAATTAAACCAAAAAACCTAGAAGCAAGTAATTTTATCTTGGTACCTACCTGTTTAAGTTTTTACTTCAGACATATATTGCGGTAAAAGCTAAGGGTTCTTGGTTGATATTGAGCACAGAGAGAACATGTATATTAAACAAATCAATAGTCTAGTGGCATGGTTTTTCCTGATGTCTTATTGTCATATATTTTCTCATGTTGAAGCTTCCTTAGTATAACTTTAGAATGAACATCCATGTTATTTTAGTCTTAAGAAAGACAGTGAGGTTATAGGCTTTAGTAAATATAAAAAAAAGCTAAAATTCTTTAATTCAGTAATCACATTTTATTTTTCAGATATTGATGGAACGACGAATTAGACCATGGATTAATAAGAAAATAATAGAATACATAGGTGAAGAAGAAGCTACATTAGTTGATTTTGTTTGTTCTAAGGTTAGTCTTTTACTCACTACGCTCCCAACTTTTTTTTTTTTAATAGGTTAAAGTATTAGATACTTTTTAAAATCAGGAAAAAATCTTTCAGATTGAAGTCTATGATAGTCTAGTTTTAATTAAGTGGTTCAGGGCTGCTTAAATGAACTCTTTCATCTCACCGCAGGCTCCCCACACCACATGCTTTCATTTCAGGGTGTCAAAGATGACAGAATTGCTGGTTGCTGCCAATTATGCTCACTTTTTCTGACCCTGAGAATGCCATACCACCCCCTTCTTGTCTTAATGGTTAGAATGTTGGTGAAATACAGTTGATAGAGAATTTGCGGAAATAGCCTATAGTGTGTCTCCTCAACCCCTTTGTCAGTCTCCCATCCTTTGGAAGAAGAACAAAATAGTCCCCTCCATATCATGATAGTCAGTACTGATTGATTGCTGCATGCCAGGCTTTGTTCTTGGTAAGCAGTTCATAGAACTTTTATCTCCTTTAAACCTCCCAGCAACCTTAGGAAATGTAAGTTGCTAATATTATCATATTATCCCCATTTTATAGATGAAGAAATTGAGGCTTAGTAAGAGATTGTGTCTTGGCCAAGTTATGTAGCAGAGCCAATCCTCTAAAACCTGTGCTATTAATCATCAAAGTATACTGTCTCCTTCCATTGTCTTCTGAAAGCAAAGTCTTAATAACGCTTATTATGGTAGAAGCACCATATTCCTGTAAAGGTATAACGAATTTCATTTCGGAGCCCTGGTTGTGAAGTGTTTAAGAGGTCAGTCTGCTAACCAAGAGATCAGCAGTTCGAATCCACCAGCTGCTCATTGGAAATCCTATGGGGCAGTTCTGCTCTGTCCTGTAGGGTCGCTATGAGTCGGAATCAACTTGACGGCACACGACAACAACAACTGCTTTTCAAGGAAATAGTATTTTCCCCCCACTACTATCCTTTTAATATTAGGAAGAGGAGATCTAGGCTGCCGTTTTCTGCTTGTAACTGTTACGGCATTAAAACTTGTATAAGTGAGGTCTGGCTTTGACGTAGAAGATAGACACTTTAGTGATTAAGACCTGAGGTTTTGGTGTCGTGGCTCCTTCCATTAAGAGTGTGGGATTCTGGGGGATTAAAGTTTATAGGAAGGTTCCTCAGCCACAAGACATTCCCATACCAGTTTGAGGGTTTGTCCCTTAAAATTTCATGTCTGCATTGCTTTTTTTTTTTTTCCCCCTCAACGTGACACTTAACTTGTTTGTTTCAGGTTATGGCTCATAGTTCACCTCAGAGCATTTTAGATGATGTTGCCATGGTAAGTTAGAAATTTGCTATTATTAATATTTTATTATCTATGTGAACAAACAATAACTTCTCTGAATTTAATTGATTTTCTGCATATGGTAGTTTCAGACTCTTTTTATAGGCCTGAATTAAAATTTGAATATTCATTAAAAGACGTAAAAGACATGCACAGTAAGATGTTATTACTACAACATTGAAATTAGGATTTTTTTTCTTTTTCACCAGCCCCTCCCCCCTTGGTGTTTTATGTGTATGTAAATATAGTTGCCTAGTCCCTTATGCTAGAAACCTCAGAGTTATCTTTCACTCCTATGTGAGCATTCATTTAGTTTGTACAAACCAGTTGCCATCATGTCTACCCTGATTCTTGACAACTCCATGTGTGTCAGAGTAGAACTGGCGCTCCGTAGGGTTTTCAGTGGCTGATTTCTCAAAACTAGATTGCCAGGCCTTTCTTCTGAGCCACCACTAGATAGGGGTGTGTTGGGGTGGTGGGTGGAGGCTTGCATTTTGAAATGCAGCCAAGGATTGCAGGGAGGGGTAGAGTGGGGTTCCTAACTAGAAGGAGCTCTGAGGTCAAGATGTTTTATATCTAGGTGATGTCTGCAGTCAGCTAATCTTTGTTTTCTGCCGAGCCAGCTTAATGTTGTTGCATTCCTGATAAAACATTTGTGAAGAAGTGGTTGGCGTACACAGTGCTTAGCCTCAAAGGAAAGGGACATGTGTATGGGCCCCGGTCCTTGGGAGTGGACTCTGAACTTTTCTGGGCTTCCAGCTTCTTTAAAGTTTATCCATGGGAGTAGACAGTGGGAATCATAGTTGGACATAAATGAATCAGCATTCTAGTTTTTTGGCCATAGCAGAGTTGCAGTCATTGTTAGTGAAGATTACGTGTGTCAGTGTTAATCAAGTCTGGTCTGTTGAAATATTCTGATATTTGGAATATATAATTAGTTAGATTACTCAACTTTTTATATGTTTTGAGTATTTTCTGGATCATTGTTGATCAGAGTGGGAGGAAACCAGTTGAGCCAGTGTTGTCAGCCAGCTCTGGTAAAAGCTTATGAGCCCCCTAAGTGTTTCTTGAATGAATGAGGAGATTGAATTTTTAGCTAGTATTTTGCTCCAATTAAAAATCTGACTTTTTCAAATTATACTTTTTCCCCATATTGCATTAATTAATGAACTTTGGTTGCATTTTATGCCCATATGTTTGTGCCTGTATCCATACTATTTCCAAGTTACGACTTTCACATTAATTAGCGCTACAGCATAGGTACAAACTGTGGGTCAAATCTGGCTCATAGAGGTCTAATTAAAAGTTCTTTTATTAATTAGCATCATTGAGAAATTGGGGAGATTTCTCATAAGAATCCAAATTTCTAGCTTCTCTTGGGTACTTTTTGAACACTTATTATATACCAGGCACTGTTCAAAGCACTTTGTACATATCCTCTTAATTACTATAGTACTGTATTTTTATACAAATAATGTGCACCTCTACGTTTGTTTGCCAACTGCTCCCTCCCCCTGTGAAGTATTTCCATAAGCACACTACGCTAATTTTTTTTACAGCAACATATAAAAAAAATTTGCATAGCAGTGGTTAGGAAAATACCTTGCAGAGAGAGGGAGTAGTTGGCAAATAAACGTAGAAGGCCCAAGTTATTTGCATAAAAAATCTAGTCCTATGATGATGTTAGTTATTTTTTCCATTTTACAGATGAAAAAATTCATGGTCAGTGAGATTAAATAACCCAACCAAAACAAAGACTTGTAGCTAGAAAAAGGTAGTAGTGGGATTTGATCCCAAGTATTTTGGCTATTTCTTCTCTTAACTCATACCCTAAACTGCCTGTATGAAGAATTGGCAAAATTACGCCACATTACATTATGGCAGTGATACCCTGGAGATCTGTTAAAGCTGCCTCCTTTAGAAGAGAACAGGATAGTCCACTTCCCAAATTTGTGGAAAGAGGACAGAAGTAGTGGTAGGGACATGATATGCCTAACTAATAGGTAGGAAGATACTTTGATCTGTTCGTCTGCCAAGGGGAAATACCTGTTGTTTATTCATAAGTCTTGTGTCCCCTGTGATGATGATAGTGTTCAGTTACTCTTTTTACTGTATTCCATACACTATATTAAATGCTTTATGTATAGTCCTGTTTACTGTTTAATTCTGTGTCACATACATAATAAACACTTGGTAAATGTTAAAACTGCAAGGTTGTTTTGGATTAGGGTAAACAAGATAGTTTGTACAAAATTATTACATAGCTGTATATTTAGATCTGCCTAAATTAGCATGTTCTTTATAACAGACATTTGCTTTAAGAGAGAGTTTCGCCAGACATACAAATGTAGTGTCTGTAAAGAAAAAATAGAAGTTAAAAGATGGATTAGAAAAGTACTGTGGTGTCAGTGTTTAGTAAGCCATGGGATTTTGCTGAATTTTTATTTTTGAGTAATTTACCTGTATTGGTTAATATATTTCTCACATTAGATTTTGTTTAAAAAATAGTGTTTTTGGTAAAAATTTACACAGCAAGTTAGGTTCCCATTTCTCACATTAGATTTTTAAGTTGTTTTATCAGAAGTAAGTGCTCGTCAGTAGATAAAAGCTTTTTTTGTATTGGTCACTGTTGTTGGAGATGTTAATGATTGCTTATCTTACTTGTGTCATTTTTTTTTCCTCCTCTAGGTACTTGATGAAGAAGCAGAAGTTTTTATAGTCAAAATGTGGAGATTATTGATATATGAAACAGAAGCAAAGAAAATTGGTCTTGTGAAGTAAAACTCTTTTTGCATTTAGAGTTCCATTTCAGATTTCTTCCTTCCCACCATTCAAAGGACTTTGAATTTTTCTTTGTCCTAAAAGACATTTGTGAGATCTGTAATTTTTTTAATGTAGAAAATGTGAATTTTTTTTGTCCTCTGATTTGTCGACGCCCTGTGTACTCCCTTGGTTGTAAAGTCATCTGAATCTTACCTTGGTTTTCTTTATACTCACCAGGTACAAATTACCAGTATGTTTTATAAACCACAGCTAGTGTACACAGCCTATCTAATATAATCTTGTTCTGCTGATTTGTTCTTGTAAATATTAAAATGACTCCCCAATTCTTTTGCAGAATTGCACTTAATATTGAACTGTACTGTTTAAGAATGAACATGAATGATTTTAATTGAAAGAATACCAGTCACATCTACCTACTATCCCCTTTTAATCAGAAATGGCAAGTCCTCACGAAGGTGTGGAATTTAAAATTAGAATGCAAAAATAAGCAGACAATCCATTCCTTCCATATCTCTGTATGAATGTGTTTGTGTGAATGTTTGTGTAAAAGACTTATTTTTCCCTAATCTGCTTTCGAGGGCTCCCTTAAGTGTTTCCTAAAAGCAGAGTAGAATCGAAAAGAGATATTGTGCCAGTCCAGATGTCTGGGATAATTAGGTTATTCTTCTCCCAGAGTGAGCACCATGAACAGGATGGGGTTTCCCTGTTTATGGCTGACTGCTTCACCATCCTCTTCTAATGGAGTGTGAATCATAGTGATTTTTCCCTTTTATTGTTCAAAAATGAGGCAGATCCTTAGATTCTGGAGTGCTTTATTTAATACATTTTTGCTCTAATTCTTAATTTTGATGTGCCCCTTTGGAAAAATTTTAGAAAATCTTCCTTCCAAAAGCGTAAATTTAAAAAAAAAAAAAATCTTTTTAAAAGAAAAGGTCTTTATAAACAAACAAAAAAGATAAAATTAGGCAGTTTTGGACACTAGGAAGTTTGATTAACAAATAGAATTCAGCTTGGCAATTTTCAAGGTTTACATCTTATTTCTAAGGAAAATAAATTATTTATGGCAGTTATCAACCACTACTAATTTTTTATCTTCATTTTTGTTCTGTAAAGGGTTTGTATCATGTGTGTACTTACACACACACAAATTGTTTTATCTCCGCTCATCGAAGTTTAAAAATATAATGTGCTTAAAGTCGTACATAGGCTATCTTTATTGTAGATCAGAACTTCACCAGGGAGCAAAATTGCCTGAAAATGTAACAAGTTTTAAATAGTTCATAACACAAATTAGGTGCAGCTCTTCTCATATCAGTGTATTTATTTAAGAGAGAGAAAGATTGGCCTGTTAGAAAAGCTTAACTGTGAGCTTGAGTTACTAGATTTTTTTACATCTTAAGAGGACATTTGAAAACACTGTTCTTAACATTGGAACATGGGATGGTTTCATTATGTAAATAATTCACATATTAAAAATGTATATATTTGATCTGGGGACTCATTTTTTCAGTCTTTTTAAATAAATGGCATCATGTTGTAATTGTGCAATGTATACTAGAAAACTTAAAAATATGGGCTGAATTTTTGTTTGGTTTTGATAGTGATTTTTTGAGTATTAGCTAAACATGTCAGAGGCCATTTATGTATCTTGGATGAATCTACTATTCAGCTACGGAAATATCCTTTTTAATTTTAATTTAGTGTATGTAAAGTTCTGGTTTCTCAAGGGAAAATTTCAGAAAGATGTCCCTTGCCATTTGCAAATTTATATCCTTTTCTCAGATCCACTCCCACTGTATCTGCAACCTCAGACCTCTTGGCTTAGCAGTTTGTTATGCTTCTCTAAACTTACTGCACAGTTACTGCTTCTAAGGCATCAGATTAGACTTTTTATTTAGCCAACATTAGCATGAACATTTATTTAGGTAAATTTAATTTCCATTGCTTTGGTCTCTTCAGTCCTTTCAACTATACTTATGTTAAAAGACCCTTCTATAAGCTAGGGCTGTCCCTTATCTGAAGTCCTTACAGGTATATACCACATACTGCATAACACCCCCAGTTGAGTTTGTGGCAGGACCTCAAATTCAAACATTAAAATTTCTGTAGCAGACAGGAATGGTCACACTAAGTGGGGTAAAGTCCATCAATAGCCAAATGCCAGCTCAAGTCAGGATTTTCCACCAAGCTTAATCAAAAACCTTTTGGTTCTCAGAGCTTGTTTTTCACGATTTTATGTAAAGAATTGGATGTATATATTCTGACGTATTCTAGTGTCTGGAAAAATACGTGTGAGAAGTTTCTGGTAATTTCTCCAGGCTTTCTGGGTTGTCCATAAGCACATAAATTAATTTGTTCCGAAACCTTATATTTCCCATTCAAGATATAAAAACTCTGTGAAAGTACAATTCTTGATCTAATGGTTATATAGGAAACAAAATTTTTTTTTTTTTACAAAATCAATATGCTTTTCCTCATTTAACTCTGTACATAATTTTAAATATGTACATCTGTTTACAGGGAGAAAAGGTAAGTTATTTGAAGCAGTTTTTCCTCAAACTATAACATGGTCCTGAATCACCAGAGGAATCTTGTAGCAGGCGGATTTAGTAGGTCTGGGGTGGGGCATGAGATTTTGCATTTCTAACCAGCTCTCAGGTGATGCCAGTATCACTGGTCCAAGGACTATACTTTGATTAACAAGGGTTTAAGTTATCTCCATCCACCCCGAATCGATTCCAACTCAGCGACCCCATAAGGTTTCCAAGGCTGTAAATCTCTGTGGAAGCCAGTTGCCAGCCATATCTTTCTCCCTCGGAGCCACTGGTGGTTTCAAACTGCCAGCGTTTCGTTAACAGTCGATGTCTTTAACCATGCACCACCAGGCCTCTTTTTAAGGTGTCTGCAGGTACTATTTTATCCTAACCAACATCAGTGCAACTTATTTTTCTTTTTAAGTAGGTTTTAAAAAGAAAAACATTTTTCCAAGGCAAATAAACGGATAAATATTTATGAAAATGAAGTAATCCAAAATAATGCTTAAGAACAACCATAATATTCTGTTCTTTATTCCCAGCCAGCCCCAGAACGTTTTCTCCTTAGAGAAGGTTTTGTGGTTACCTACTTTGCATCTTGCTTCCCTGGAAACTTAAATAGTAGAGGCTAATGATAATTGTTGAAGAGCGCTGTTTCAATTGTTAATCAAGCATGAATACAGATACAGTGAGTAAGCTGAGAAAACAGCAGTCTTGAGAGCCAAATTGAACTAAACAGTATCTTTTTTTTTCTTTTATATAAAATTTTTTAATGCAAATAAATGTAAGCAGGTATACAATGTTTATGTGAGGCTTATTTACCCAGTTGCTTCTAATAAGTTTTATGAATGTCTCCAATGTCGATGCCAGGACTGCTGAAAGGTTTTCATGTAAAAATGGTTATATTCTTTTCCAGGTCATATTTCAGCTTTCTGTTAACCATACAAAATCAAGAATTAATTTTGCTCAGCAAAAGATATTACTTATATGAAGGCCAAATTAGGGATGGCAATCTAAAATGCCCAGGAAGAAAGGTAATTTCTATAAACAAAAATGAATAAAAAAAATTTTTCAAGCCGTGTTGCTTGAATTAAATGACATTCCCAAGTCTGCCTACTCTGCCACGTCACATATTGGGTAGATTGATGACTCTTACCTTCTTATGTACAGATTGGGAGCTGAATTGTTGAACACTGTTCTTTATTTATTTTGTGTACATTTATATCGGGCCATGGAAGACATGGCCATTCTTGCCTAAGTGGATAACCCATTAGAATTTCTGTTTCATTCAGTGAACATTTATTGAACACTTGATATGTGCCATTCATGTTAAAAGCTAGGTGGAGGTTACAGACATAAGTTAAGACAAGCTTCCCCTAATAGCTGAGTGTGGAAAAGTAATTACACAATGAGAGAAATGCTAGTAGACATGCATACAAAGTGCTGTAAGAACTGTCAGACTTAATCACTTTACTTCAAGGTTGAGGGAAAGTGACAACAGGAAAATGCTTAGAAAGGTAGTACAATGTAGAAGAGACTTTAAAGCTCACCTTGTCTGTTCTACCCAGTGCTGTAATTAACTACAGTGTTCCTGACAAATGATTATCTAGAGGCCCGTATGTGGTGGTTAGGTGCCGTGGAGTTGATTACAACTCAGTAGCGACCCCATGTATATGTGATTCTAATTCATGGTCTTGGTCTGCACTATCAAATAGTAACCACTAGTGACGCATTCAGTAGTTACATGTGACTAAAAATCCATTTTTTTGTTACACTGCGTTTTAAGTGCACAGTAGCTACATATAACTAATGTCTACTATATTGGACAGTGTAGATTATAGAACATGATTACAGAAAGTTACATTGGATAGTAATGGTCTAATAGACCTAAGGGCAGAGGAAAGGGCTTGTTAATAAAATGCAAACACATAAAGCATTTTAGGAAATGTTTATTAAAAAAGATTGTTAAGTGTGAATTTAAAAATACTTGTAAATAACTTTTTTCCTCTTTTTCTAGTAAAAGGACAAACTATTGAACATTTTATATTGTAGAATCAAGCATAATATGAAGGTTCTTTTTTTCCTGGCAATTTTATATTATTGGTAAAGGGATTTGACCAGTTGTTACTGAAGGTGGAAAAGCTACAGATAATAGTTTTGTTAAGTGTGTTATTGAGGTAAGTTTTTTAAAAGGTCCTGGATAACGAGATTAGATTTAGTAAAGCAGTGACAAACATTCATAATTTAAGAGTAGAAATACAAGATGAATAAGATAAAGCCAGTCTTTGATCTTAAAAGCAGGGCCCAGCCTTAAGGAGACCAGTGCTTGCAGAGTGTTGGAATGTCTTAGGAGAACTAATGAGATAGAATGTAGCTAAGCACTGAATCCTGGTAACTTTAGTATCAATTCTACTCTTCCCTGCCATAGGTAAAATGGCAGTGACATTCTATATAAAGGCGAACTGCTGTATGTGGGAAATGTTAATGAACTGGATTTCCTAGAAATCATTGGTGTGAAGAACTAGCCTTAGTTTTCTGATTGACCAGATCCTGACTTTATGTAGTAGTGACTGATGTTAACAGTCCCCCTCCCCCAAGTAGTTCTAACAGGTCCAGCACTCTGAATTTCCCATCTGCTTTATCTTTCTCCACTTACTGTTGGATTTTGCCAGCATTTCATGTATCATTGGTTTCTCTACTCCTGCTCCTACGTTCCAAGCACTTTCGGGAAAAATGTAAATGCTTCATTGCAGATAGTCTGCTCTCTAAGTGCTATTTGGTCACTCTTCTACTGGATTTCAGCCCCTTACATACCAAAACCAGACCCCTTGCTGTCGAGTCGAGTCCGACTCATAGCGACCCTATAGGACAGAGTAGAACTGCCCCATAGAGTTTCCAAGGAGCACCTGGTGGAGTCGAACTGCCAACGTTTTGGTTAGCAGCCATAGCACTTAACCACCAGGGTATCCTCCTCACGTATACTGCAGGTTTTATGCTTTTTAAAGCTCCAGTGCTATAGTAAGTACTGAACAAATGTTCACTGAGTAAATAAAATTCATTTGATTTTTCCCCCTCACCTAGCAAATAATTTTCAATTAACAAAAACAGTACAAAGTCATTAGGCACGTTCTCTCAAATTCTAGCTTTCCAGTTTATGACAACAACCATTTTAAACTGCTTTCTGTAATTAATGGTATATACCAATCCATCCTATCCAGAAGACCTCCTCCACCCCACTGGCTCTGGTTCTAACTACATTCTGTAGTTGCTCAGGTATTTCCAGCATCTTCCCTCAATCTGGAATTCTTATTATAACAATGAAAAAGCTTGGATTCTATTCTCCTTTCCCTTCTGGAACTGAGATTCCAGAAAGAGTAGCTTATATATGCCCTCTAAACCTCTCAAGTCTCAATTCAACCTATTCTGGTTTCTACTCACCATTCTACTGAAAACTGGTGACAGCCTAAATGAGAGACTGTGGCCTTGTAAGACAATTACATACTAGTTCATTTCAGCACCATTGTCTACTTGGGACTTTTACTTGGTGTCTAGGATTTCACTTTTGCCTTGTTCCTCTAGTCTGTGACCTTTTCTCAGTGTCTTCTACTGGTTCTTCCCTGGTGCTCATATCCAGGGTGCTCATACTTCTAAGAAGATGAAGAAATACAGAAAACAGGTTATTCAAAGTGAGCAGTTTGCTTTTTTTCTAGAACCCTTTTTTGTTTCCTTTTCACAGAAATGTGTTTTGACATAATTGCATTTACATTTTTACATAAATTTTATGTCATTTGACAAAATAAGAATATTTCTGTTATGCATAATGTTCATAAACAATTTTAATGATTTTTTCTGTGAAATGAGTGCACTATAAGCCATAATTTTTTGTAGGACATTTAGCTTTCCAATTTTTGCCATAAATAATACTCCATCAAGATCTTTGCACAACATTTTTATT